AACTGCCACAGCTGAATACAGAATTCGCCAATTCTAAATTGTAGTGCTCTACTTTCAGTTTGTCTAGCTCAAGAATTTCATGGTCACGATATATTATTTTTTTATCGAGAAACTAAGCATTGGTCAGGCTTTCATGTGACATATTAGAAAGTTTTCAACGAGATTTCTGGAAAAGGTTATAGAAGGTTGAATTTCGTCATTGAAACAGAAGGCAAATGAAATCGGCCTTAGTCCTGATGATTGCAAAGCGGTGAATATCGGCTGACTTAAATCAGTAATGGCGGCTTGTGTAGTGTAGCCTAACCAAAGCCAAGGAAACTGTCACATTCCTCTAGTTTTGGTTTCGCGGTTGTAACGGGATAACATTAAAAACTTATTAGATTACAATAGGAGACGAACAATAAAAAAAGAAACAGAGATTGTATATAAATTGGACCTCATCTCACGAATCCCGAACAACGACCCATATTTTCCAAAAAAAATGATGTATCATATATCACGCATCACATGATTTCAATTCGACACATGTGTATTAAGTAAAAAAAAGTGCAAGCCACGTGAATACTCGCTAATGACTAATGAGCTCCTAACAAGAACCACTACTGTATCCTGTTTTATATGCTTAAAATCACTTTATTACTTAATTAATTCGACAACCCAAGTCGGTTCAAAAGGGTGAAAACATAGGCTATCCTTTGGCAACGAAAAGTAAGGACATCAATAACATAATTTAATTGAGAGAAATATGTCGACGAGACGTCTCTTGATTTGTCGACGCGTGGTCTGCAGGTTGTCGACGAGTTATCCAGGTTTGTCGACGAGTTGAATATCGATGAATATCGATACCTCACTGAAGAAGTTTTTGGAGTCTTCTCGTCATTTTTATGGACAGCAAAATGCAGAAAAGGTTTTTAGAAACATTCTTATCAACAAATGTGGAAATTGCGCAGTTGTCTCATTCGAGGAAAAGTAATTATTAAACTTTGATTCTTCTTTTGTTTTTGATTTGTAGTGGCGTATCCGCTTGTTCTGGGGTTTGACTATACGGATATGTATCACAGCGACAAAGATGCTAGCCATAGGATTAACTTCCACTATCTTTATCAAACAGGATTGATGATAAGTTCAGAATCCGTTTTCCGCCAAGCAAACAACTTAAAGTTGAGTCTTCAAAACCAGGTGTGTTAAGAATTATTATCCGCGTTTAAAAGACATCTATAGTAATAAGATGCACAAATATATTAAGCATATGACAGATAGACACGGTAATTTAGGCACATGTCTTTAAGGCACAGCGATATTTAGGCACTGTGATTTCGGCACAACTTCAATTAGTATTTATGCACGCACATTTTAGGTACAATTATATTTGACAATTAGGTACATACTCATAAAAGTACGCCAACGACCTACATGCCTAAGAAAAGTGCATGTGCCTAAAATACCGTGTCTAACTGGTTTGTGCAACATATTTGTACCAAATGACTGCTTACCTACAAAAATACGTTATAATCACTTATCAGCCCTATTTTTTTTTTTTATTTTGATTTATTGCAATCAGCATTTACATGTACAATACATATTGCTATAGCATAAGTTTTATAACAATTAATTAACAAACAAATTTGTAGAATGTGTAGAACTGTGTAGCTTATCATGGAGAACAGATTCAACGAATACTAAATTATATTGATACATATTATATACAAATTATATACAAGAACAGTTGATAGATGACTATAACTTCTCAAGATATTGTTTTCGTTTTTGCCACGAATAGTAAATATATCTTGACAGATTTATAATAATAGTTTCAGATTTGTTTTTCATAATACTTTCAAATTTATAAATTGAAGGCCAACTCCAACAATATCTTGGGAGGTACTTTATTCTTATAACTCTAGAAGCTGGACAGCATAATAAAAAATGAAATTCATTTTCTATCATATTGGTGTTACAACAGTCGCAGATTCTATCATCTCTTGATTTTTAAAAATCGACCAACCTCAATTTTTAGTTTCATGGTTCCCGATCTAAATTTACACATAATATTTCTAAATTTCCTATTTGTAATAACATTTAAATATGCAGCACGTTCATAACTTCGTAATAAGAAATGTATGATTTCAGTTTTATTGAGAGACTAATTTTTGAATACCAGTTTTGAATATATTGATCACGTATTCTTTTCTGTATTGTTGTGAAGTTAAATGATTCTAGATTATATTGGCTTTCCCATATATAACATAGACCTAAGTTTTGTAAACAACTTCGAACGTTAGAAACCCAGTTTTTAAAACCTCTATCAGAATCATGTTTCAGATGTTGGTATAAATCATATAAAATACCTTTTTTCTTTGAAACTATTTTTATCCAAAATTTCAATATGCTTTGGGTTTGAATAACCCATAATGGGAATCGTCCGAGCTCCCCCAATAAAAAATTAAACTAGTAATTTGTAGGTTATTTTTAAATTCAATATTGAGCAACTTTGTTTGGTGTATTATAGAGGCAGTTTATTCCATTTAGTGAAGCCGAAAGCTGAATTATCATGTATTCTTAATCATATTGTTACATTCTTATTGCATATAATAAGAGTTTTAACCAATCAGAAAATAATGTCCATGTAAGTATAGTCTGGATAAACAAAAAAAAAGATTTTCTGACCTTTCTTGATCGGTCACTCATTGGTCACTGCTGGATATTCTCTTCTAATTTAGGTAATTATGTATTCATTATAGACATGTTATACAAACTAGTATTTTTCCAAGTCATTAGAACAACTATACTTTCTATTTATAAAAGTATTCGAATCTTTAATATGCAATTCGATTCTTTTCGATTGTCGAGTGACCTGTAATAGGATATCAAACAATTTTCTGGATTTCAATGTGCTGAAAGTTGAACGTCACTCATTTGGTTGCGTGGAACAAATTGTGGTGGTCGGCAGAATTCTCAGTTGATGTGCGAAATTTTCTTAAATTGAAAATTGTCCTTATTTCATACGACCAAGCAGTAAATGAATACGAATAATTCGGGAAAGATCATTGCCAAGCTGTTTGACCAAGTAACATCTCCGAGGTTGATGCAATAGTTCACCTAGGGCCTACTCATCTTAACAATGTCAAACTATTAAGAACTGTGTCTAATACCCTGACTGCAAATTCAACCAAATCCAATCGCTGCATTAACAAACTTTCCTAATGTAAAAAGGTAACTATTGCAGTCAAAGTATTAGACGTAGTTCGTAATGGTTTGACTTTGTGAAGATGCTTAAAAATTGAAACATCGTAAAGAGACACGATCGACCAGCGAATTATAAAACAATAGATCATCTTCACAGCTATTACGGACTTCGTCTTATACCTTGCGTGTAATAGCCACATTTTTTGTATCATCATATCGCTGCATTTACAAACTTCCATGATACAAAAGGGTGTTGTTTTTTCTTATATTTTACATTGTAAAGAATAAATCAGTGTTAAAATCGCCATATAAACAAAAGTACCTTCTTTTAAAAAGCTCCATTAAAACTACATGTGTCCGCTTTACAATAAAAGAAATGCTAAAAAAAAAACATAACACCCTCTAGTGCACATAATATGTGTCAATTTTTATAATATTGTAAAATCTTTTAAGCCATAAAGCCTATATAATTTGACATGTCAAACGATTTTTACGGGCATAGACCTAATGATTTTTTTTCGAAGGTCGAAAAACACTTTCGTAAATGTATAAACCATGTATAAAGTTGTTAAATTTGTGTGATTTTATATGAGGTTATGTTCCTTGTTTCCTGTTATTTCTGACAACCAAGGTGACTCAGTGAGTTAGACGCTTGCACGCTAACCTGATGAAGGTCCGGGGTTCAAACACGGCATAGGTTGAGATAATACCTTCGGATATTTCAACACGGTTCCCCTTGTCAGTGATGCAGGTAAGAGGGGCTGACATGGAAAAAGCGTCGTTCGGGTGGAACAATAAACCAAGGCCCCGTGTGCTACAGGTGGTGTACGTTAAAGATCCCTCGACAGTTGAAAATCGAAAAAGAGCAGGCTACTGCTGCTGTCCTGGCAAAATTTCCCTCATTGCACCCTGCATGGCATTGCCTGTCTTCATTAGCTTTCATTTTGCGGAAACTCCATTCATTTTATTTTTCGAGTTATTTCTGTATTTTGCCATACATAATGTGTCAATATTATGCTTAATTCAAACATAGTGCACTGTCAATGAGACATTAAAGGGAGACGACTCTTGTTAAACAAGTTAAATTGATTCACACTCAAAAATGGACATATTACACTAAGCTTATTCAAGAAGCGTCTCTTTCCATGTCTAGATCACTTTTGCCAGTAATCAATTGCATTAATGTCCACAATTTTTAACAAGCTTACCACTATATGCGCCTGGGTTTGTCCTTTTATTTCAACAGGTCTTTAAGTCATCATCAATATTCATCGCCAGGAATAAAATCACCACTAAAGGCTATTCATTAAGTTTTTGATAAAATAAATGATTGACGTCAATTATAAAAGATTACAGTAGATTTTGTACATTATATATCACGAATTGAAATTTTGAAAAGACAAATTGAACACCTAGTCATGAAGAAATAATCCCTCAAAAAAAGTTTCTAAATGGTAAAAATTGAAAAAGCCTGTTCACTTGCATTCTGTTAAAATAATAAATGTAATGATATGATAGTATTTTTTGTCTGCAAACCTTATCGTCTGCCCAGTTGATCTCAGCTATTTAATATGCCATTAAAAGAAGGTTATAAAGGTCAGATTATGCCGGTTTTTTGGCTTCAAAATTTTCTTCTTCGTGTTCTATGTGTGACAATAAAAGCTTTAGTCTTGTTTTACACGACCTTTTTGGGGCAAATAGATTTGATTATCAAGTCTTTCAAACATAACAAAACTACATTGAAAGACTATAGTAATCGGGACTAATCCGGATGTTGTCAACTGGCGCGAACTTTCTCCCGCCAAATCTGAACCACGTGAGCAAAACAAAGAATAATCGAAGAAGCGAACTCGCAAATTTTGAGTGAAAATGGCAGGTTTTGATGATGCTGGAGTGTTTTTCAGTGATAATTTTGGTTCAGAGGAGCAACATGACGAACAACACATCAATAGACAACAAGTTAAGAAGAGATTTAAAGATTTTATTCGCCAGTTTCACGAGGGAAATTTCTCTTACAAATATCGGTAAGTGAATTGTCAGTAAAGTGGATACTCAAATCAACCGTAGATCTATATTATATGCATAATACAAATTATTCTATTGTAGACTAACACGAAGTTGTTTCAGACTATGCATACTGATCTTGATCCTGAGTAAAACATAGACCATCTCTACAAGGATACATGAATATGATAATGAATTGATAACAAGGTTGAACTAATTAAAGCAATTAAGACCTAAAGAATATCTTATTTTATTAGCCCTTTTACAACTTAATCAACAAGCTACTTAAGCAGCCATCTGCATTGTTAATCACTCTAAGATCACAAGATGCCTGCCAGTGATCACAGTATTAGTAGTATGACAATCAGAAGCTGTCAATTTTCAACCCAGGGACCTTTTATCACAGTAGCGGTTCTTCACTTTAATTGATGTTATTATGACAAAGCCTGATGACATGGACAGTGTTTGTCATTAGGACTGGTTAAAAAGATTCAAATAATTAATTACCATCGCTATGAATGTATAATTTTCGTTATCAAAGTTTGTAATCAATTATAAACCAAAGTTACATTTTCACCACTCGACCACACAACAAGAAGTAATCTCCTCCACATAGGTTCCCTTTAGTACATAACATACCCACAATAAGCTATAATATTGTGGTTAATAATGACAGATCAAAGCAGAAATATTCTTCTATGACGCAAAAGTAACTCATGAAATTAAGAATTTTGGTATGTTTTTAATTTAGTATTTACAGGGATTCTCAATTGAATTATTTTGATTATTAATCAATTATTGATCGGTAGTCTGCCATCGATAATCGATCTAAATTTTGTAATCGATACACAGCCCTATTTGTCATCTGTTTGTTAGGTGATGAACTTTCCTAATTTTTTTTTCTTATATTTTAGAGATGAGTTGAAACGACATTACAATTTGAGTCAGTTTCTACTGAACATAGCATTAGATGATGTCATTAGTTTTGATGAGGCATTAGCTGATAAATTAATCAAACAACCTACTGAACATCTACCATTGGTATGTTTCTTACTAGCTTTATGTTAAAATTAGTGCTGGGTATCGTAAATCATGTCACGATACGATACGCATTGCGATACATCATACAAGGGTCATGATGCGCTACATATGGGGTAATGGGATAAAAATTAACATTAACAAGTTTCTATATATATTGATTTGTAACTATATAACTGTGATATTTGGTATTATAGTTGATAGAAGTGGTCTTATAAAAAGTTTCTAGATAACAATTTTAGTGAAAAAAATTGTTATAACATAAAACAACATTTAAAATCTGCACTCTTTTTATAGAATAAAAGGTATCGCCAAATATCGATACAAGATACGCGTATCGTAGCATGTGTTCACCGATATATTGTGCCAGCACTAGTTAAATGAAACTTGTGTATGGTGGATGCTTAGTTATCATTAGTTGCCTTATCATTCAACTTTCATATCTTGGTGGATAGAATTCATTGCCCCAGGGCAACAAAACATTGCTGATGCTTAGTAGCAAATTCATAATGTCCCTTGAAAGAAGAAAAGTTAAAATTTGAATCAAATGAAATTCTAGATTTTTCTGCTTAGAAGTGCAAAAAGACAAGATAAAGTGTACGGTGCAGGATTATCTATATAGTAGAAACTATTAGAAGTGAATCGAGTCCACACTGTGTCCGGACCCATACCTTGTGTGTTCACTTCTTCTATTTGAGTTTGTATTGATTATTCCACACCGAATACTGAACCTTGTATATTCACAGCTTAATCCAAAATATACGCCAACCTGCGATGGTCTCGATAACCTTAAAGGAATTACGTTATTGGCAATATCGAACCGACATCTACAACCAGAACATTTTAATTGTAAATGAATTTATATGAAATGGGAATCAAAATCAAAACTGAAATTTGGTGTGATAAAATGCCAAGATTGCCAAACACATTTTTCAATCACAAATTGACACTGACTTCGTATAGAAATGATACCTTGTTTCTTGCTAATATTTCTTTTGATTTTTGATATTACAGTTTGAAGATGCTGCTAAGGAAGTAGCTGATGAGGTGACAAGACCGAGACCTGAAGGTGAAGAAGATGTAGAAGATATTCAGATAACCTTGACCTCCAATGCCAACCCTTATTGTATTAGAGACTTAAAGGTAAAATTATCTCTAGCAGTAAAAATAATTTGATGAGGGATGTTGGAACATTAAAAATTTTGTATTTGTTATGTTCAGTCTGACCACGAATGACAGACTTTTTCCACCTCAGTGGCCAGTCTACCAACTACATTATTATGTGATAACAGAAATTTTAATTTTGTTATATTCAGTCCGACCATGAGGGATGACAGACCATTAAAAAATTTTGTATTTGTTATTTTCAGTCTGGCCATTATGGATGACAGAACATTTGAAAATTTGTATTTGTTATTGTCAATCTGACTCCTAGAGATAACAGACCCATTCAACAATTTTGTATTTGTTATTTTCAGTCTGATCACTAAAGATAACAGAATATTTAAGAATTTGTATTTGTTATTGTCAGTCTGACCACTAGAGATAACAGACCATTCAAAAGTTTTGTATTTGTTATTGTCGATCTGACCACCAGAGATAACAGACCAATTCAGAAATTTTGTATTTGTAATTTTTAATCTGACCACTATAGATGACAGACCATTCAAAAATTTTGTATTTGTAATTTTTAATCTGACCACTAGAGATGACAGACCATTCAAAAATTTTGTATTTGTTATTTTCAGTCTGATCAAATGTCAAGATTAGTCAAAATACCTGGCATCATTATAGCAGCATCAAATGTCAAGGCAAAGGCAACTAAATTAACTATGCAATGTCGAAGCTGTGGCAATTCTGTCAACAATGTCTCTGTTAAACCAGGTTTAGAAGGCTATGCTTTACCCAGAAAATGCAACACGTAAGTTATTTCACAAGTAGGAAACCGACATCTTCACTATGTCAAGCTGTTACGAACTTTGTCTTATACCATTACTTCAATAGTTTGACTTAGTTTTTGTATTTCGTCTAATAATTGCTTGATATTTTTAGTTTAAAACCTTCAAAATAAGCAGGAGACAAATTTTTCTACAATTGGGCCTTTATTTTGCTTAAAATCGATACATTCAACCAAACCAAAAAAGATAACAACATTAAAATGTCTATGCAAATCTTTTTAACTGGTTTTAGCATTTCAGAATTATTTGCAAGATACTTTAAGCAAAAAGTTTAGATACCTTAAGAGACTCATTTCTCTAGGTTTTGGTGTAAAACTTTCACGAATTCGACCTACAAATAACAGACTGCCCACTAAAGAGATAATCTTGACCATCATCAAAGTGATCAGCATATATGAGTGTAATTCTTCTAGTAAAAATACAATTTTGGCAATGCAGACTCTCTGATGAATCAAATCAAAATGTTTCTTATATTTCAGAGAACAAGCTGGAAGACCAAAATGCCCAATAGATCCATTCTTTATTGTTCCTGATAAATGTCGATGTGTTGATTTCCAAGTACTTAAACTGCAGGAAGCACCAGAAGATGTTCCTAATGGAGAAATGCCAAGACACATGCAGGTTTATTGTGATAGGTAGGTTCATGTTTCACTGGCTAAGCATTCATGCATCAGCCATATTGAATTCAGCCATAAGCTCTTTATCAGATGTTCAGTGACATCACATAGTCAATTTATTCATATGATGTCGCCATTTTTAAATAGATGCTTTATAAGCCTCTTATTCAGTAAGTTCAAAACGAGATTATTCCTTTTGTTAATTGAAAAGAATTGAGTTTTATGTCCTACACTTCTGCACCTAATTAGGCTAATGAAGATGGGCAACACCATGCAGTGTGCAATGAGGGAAATTTTGTCATAACAGAGGCAATAGCCTACTCTTTTTCCCTTTCCAACTGTTGAGAAATCTTTAACGTGCAGATGAGTCATTATAGATATTTATATTGACATTGTAGATATTTATATTGACATAGATATTTTCATTGACATTATAGATATTTATATTGACATTGTACATATTTTTATTGACATTGTACATATTTTTATTGACATTGTACATATTTGTATTGACATTATAGATATTTATATTGCAATTGTAGATATTTATATTGACATTGTAGATATTTATATTGACATTGTAGAAATTTATATTGACATTGTAGATATTTATATTGACATTGTAGATATGACATTGTAGATATTTATATTGACAATGTAGATATTTATATTGATATTGTAGATATTTATATTGATATTGTAGATATTTATATTGACATTGTAGATATTTATGTGATCAAGTGGTACCTGGTAATAGAGTTATGGTTATGGGAATTTATTCTATTAAAAAAGGAGGAAAATCCACAAAGGTAATTAGTTTTGACCCTTGCAAAATCATTTATCTGAAAAACATTTTTTTAGAAATTTAGAATTATAGCTTATGAAAAGCTTTAGAAAATGGTATATCTTCTTGAACCAAACAATTTAATTCTAATTCTTTTCTTTTTCAGGGAGGAAATCGTGAGAAAGTAAATGTTGGAATAAGACAGCCATATTTCAGAATGGTTGGTGTTACAGTCGACACCGAAGGAACTGGCCGAAGCTCTAGTAATTTGATTAATCCAGCAGAAGAAGAAGATCTCCGACGTTTGGCTGGACAGCCTAATATTTATGAAACCCTGGCTAAAAGTATTGCTCCCTCCATATATGGTAGTATCGATATTAAGAAAGCTATTGCCTGTCTTCTGATTGGAGGATCCAGAAAGAGGTAAGAGAATCATAATACATGCTGAGCAATAATGAATTCATGCCATCACATAAGTTTGCTCTCCGAAAAAAAACTTGAATATTTAAGAGATTGTTCTACACTTTTTATGATGTCACTATTAATAATGTCCTTATTTATTTTAAGAAGATTTGTGATTGTGATGTCCAGAATCTTGTGGTCTGTGCAATTTGAAAGTTATCCCTTTAAACACTAAGTTAAAGGAAATAACACAACAAATACCTTGATCTTCAAGTGATATAATAATAATAATAATATATTTATTTTGTATAAAATATAGTACACCAAAGGAATGAACAACTTAAACCTCTGTGTTCTTTATGGCTGGGGCTATTTACCACTGCATGGCTTTATGACTTAGTAGTATCACATTAACAATATGTAATGTAACTTGGTAACAGAGTGATTGCTGGTTACGAAAGGGTTAAACATATAGATATGCCTCATTTCAAAGAATATTTGAATTTTTTTATTAGATTACCAGATGGTTTAACTAGAAGAGGTGATATCAATTTATTAATGTTGGGTGATCCTGGTACAGCTAAATCTCAACTGCTAAAATTTGTAGAAAGATGTTCACCTATTGCAGTAAGTATCTCTATGAATCAGTTGTAAAGGGTGTTTTAGACTTGTTATGTGCATTAAGAACACTTGATAGCATCAATTTGCACCATTCCAAATTTCAGTCAGATGTCTGTAGTTCTTGCATTTCTAGGGAAACTAAGTGTTCAGTTGCGAATAATATCTAAGAGATTTTTGCGATGTTGATGTTAAAGATTTAATAGAATTGCAAGAACCAAGAACGTTTTACTGGAATAATACTTTCAGAGTTGTACAAATGACAAGACTAAAACCTCTTTATATTCACTTAAAAAAATATTCCTTTTTACTCGTGAAACTGAGATGAATTCAATCAAACTTAAAAGTATTGCATACAAGTTCTTGAACACACTCGAATTTGTATACATTTAACAACTATTGATAGAGTTATAACCCTTGATATACTCAATATACAGTATAAGTTGCTTGTAACCGCGATAGAGGACATAGTTGTTGTTAGGTATGTTTCAAATTTGGTGTGTTCACAATATGTTGGATGAGTTCGATTCTGAGCCCCATGTCACAAAATTTTACAGAGTTACAGCCCTTGATATACTGAAAATAACTTGTTTTAATTATAGGTATATACATCAGGTAAAGGTTCTAGTGCTGCAGGATTAACAGCTTCTGTTCTCAGAGATCCAGCTTCAGTAAGTTTTTATTTATTTCCAGTCTAATTAATATTAGATCAAACATTCATTCTGTTTGTGTTAGCTTTTATTTCTATGGTAGCCACTCCAGTTAGGGTCTAGTGACTGCTATTTATCATTTATCTGTCTGGTAACACCACCAGCCAATCAAATTTCCTTTCTCTCCAGCGCAGGATGTTGTGACTAGAACAAAAGATGTTTTCTGATGAGCATTAGACTAGTTTATCAAGTCTGATGAAATTGCCCATTGTGCTTCGAACTGTACACTTATAAGATACTTTGACAGTTGGAAATTGAAAAAGAGTAGGTTTTCCCTCATTGCACACACTATATTGTGTTTCCCATTCTTTTAAGTAGAAAATAGATCTCTCTTCATTTCATTGTATGTGCCCATTATATTTCAATCAGGGGCCTTATTCTCGAAAGCTTTACTAAGATAAAATCAAGATTTTAAGAAATACAGTTATCTGATTGGATAATAAAACTGAATTCAAAATTGATTTTAGTGATTGACCAGTCATTTTAAGTTAAGTTTTCGAGAATAAGGCCCCTGGAGTCTAAGTACCAGAGAGAAATACTTACAGATTCCTCTGTTGTAATTGTAGAAGAACTTTATTATGGAAGGTGGTGCTATGGTATTAGCTGATGGTGGTGTAGTATGTATTGATGAATTTGATAAAATGAGAGAAGATGATAGAGTAGCTATACATGAGGCTATGGAACAACAAACTATTTCTATTGCCAAGGTATGATGTTATTGCTTGGAGATATCTAAGACAGTGTTTTTGTTTTTGTTATTGCCCCTGTTTAGTTCATGCTTACAATTGCTAGCAGTCTATTATATTGTATTTATTAGCTGGAATAACAATTGGATTGATGTTCTGTTTAAGCAGCTGCTAATACTGTATTTAGCAGCTACTAACTATGTATTTTATTCTATTTTTAGGCAGGAATAACAACTACACTGAAATCTTGATTTTTTTGTGTAGGCAGCTGCTAAAAGTGTGTAATAATATTGTATTTTTAGGCTGGAATAACAACTACACTGAAATCTAGAATTTTGTGTATGCAGCTGATAAAAGTGTGTTATAAATTTGTATTTTTAGGCTGGAATAACAACTATCCAGCCGCTAAAAGTGTGCAATAATATTGTATTTTTAGACAGGAATAACAACTAAACTGATATCTAGATTTTTGTGTAGGCAGCTGCTAAAAGTGTGTTATAAATTTGTATTTTTAGGCTGGAATAACAACTACACTGAATTCTAGATGTTCTGTGTTGGCAGCTGTTAACAATGTACTAGATGTTCTGTTTTGGCATCTGTTAACAATGTATTTAGATTTCCTGTTTTGGCAGATGTTAACAATGTAGTAAATGTTCTGTTTTGGCATCTGTTAACAATGTATCTAGATTTTCTGTTTTGGCAGCTGTTAAAAGTGTATAATATTGTAATTTTAGGCTGGAATAACAACTACACTGAACTCTAGATGTTCTGTTTTGGCAGCTGCTAACAGTGTATTTGGAAGATGGGATGACACGAAAGGAGAAGAGAACATAGACTTTATGCCAACTATTTTATCTCGATTTGATATGATATTTGTTGTAAAAGATGAACATGATGAAAAAAGGGATGTGGTAGGTTGACCTTTTCTTCCTTCAAAACACAAAGACATATTAAAGGGACAGGTTTGCCATTTTTGGTCTTGAATATATGTAAATAGTCTTCAGAAGTAATAATATGTACAAAAATAGCATAATTCCTTTAAAAATAATTCAAAATATGAATTTTACTCATTATTTCTATAATATGTCTTGTCTATATATCAGAGAGTATCTTAAATTGACGAGTTGTCATTTTAACATTCAAACGCAGATACTTCTGGACACACATGGATTTGAAGGCTCAAATTTCTAGAGAGAGCAGTGATCACAATTACTGATTAAGATAGTTAAAATAAATCCCATTTCTGAGACTAATGTACTATTGGTCAAACAGATTGTTAACATGTCCTTTTAAGACTATTATTTCAATACTTATTATCAGTAGAATTAGATATACCAACTAACTTACAAAGACATTAATATAGATATAGATATTAAACTTATCATAGCTATATAATGATATATATTGTTCATATCCATTTTAGACACTAGCTAAACATGTGATGAACGTACATTTAAATTCTCTGCAAACTACCGATGAGACTTCGGAAGGTGAAGTTGATTTAAACACATTGAAGAAATTTATAGCTTATACCAGAGCGTAAGTGTATTTCACTGTTTATGTCTTTTTTGCCTCCAGTTATTAGAACAGGACTGCGGTGGAAAATGTCTAAAATTTCAATGGAGACAAAAAAATGAAAAAATTCGAAATTGTAGCCTAAATTTTTATTTAATGCAAAAGTTACATCCTAAAATGCTTAGTTTTAGTAGAATTATAAGAACCACAGACGAATTAAATTTGAATGATGTTATCAGTGTCCCTGAAACACATAAGAAATTTAGTGAACCCTTTACAATCCCTTAAACAGAACCTGAAACATGTTGTGATTTATTATTTTAGTAAATGTGGTCCAAGGTTGTCTTCTACTGCAGCCGAAAAGTTAAAGAATCGTTATGTTTTGATGAGAAATAGTGCTGGTGAATATGAAAGAGAAACGGGTAAAAAAGTCAGTATACCTATAACTGTCAGGTAAGACAAAAACAAAGAAACAATTATATTTTACAAGGATAACGACTTTTGTTCACAAAGGATCCTTTCTACCAGCTGGTCCTTAGCCAAACCTCTTGACATTGATCTTTCCTGGATTATATGTATAGGCCTACCCGCTAGGATGACTGGAAATATGGAATTGTGCTGATTGAGATTAGAACCCTTAACCACGTCATGTAAAGAACCAAAGCTCTTATCTTATCATTATGGAATCCACAAAATGACGTACAATTTTCACTTTGTATTTTTTTTCCCAGACAATTAGAAGCTATTATTCGTATCTCAGAATCACTGGCTAAAATGAAGTTAGCTCCCTTTGCTACAGAAGTTGATGTTGATGAAGCCTTACGATTGTTTCAAGTGTCCACTCTAGATGCTGCTACATCTGGTAACCTAGCAGGTATGAGTGGCCTTAAGATTAGATTTATATACATAGCCTGTTTGAAAATATTCATGAAAACTTATAGCTCTTGTAGCATACTTTTATGTTGTCTATGTTGTCATGGTAACAGATGTTCTGTTGTATATACAGAACTGAATGTTTTGATTGAATTGTTCAAACATTGAACAGTAACAATAACTAGACCTGACAAGTGTTACAGGTACATTGTGCCTTATTTTTCTCGAGCTAAAAAATTCCTGATTCTGAGACTAAAGTATCAAGAGTGTGTATCCAAAATAATTCCTGTTTGAAAGTTAAAAATTCGACTCAAAATTTAGTGAGACTATGCCATAATATAGAAAACACATATATAGGAATAGACAGTGAAATTTCTAGTTTGAGGTATATTTGAAGGGATTATGCGATTTTTGTGTGTTTAAGTACTATTAAAGCATGATAAAGACCCTAATTAATCCCTGAAAATGCCAACTGTTCCCCTTTATGGTGCAGAACATAAATAAGATATATTTCCAGGAGCTGAAGGATTTACCACCGAGGAAGATCAGGAATTTTTAAGTCGTATTGAAAAACAAATTAAACGAAGATTTGTCATTGGTTCCCAAGTATCAGAACATGCCATTATTCAAGATTTTGTTAGACAGGTGAGTTGCATTTAGTTTTCCATTTGTCAGGGATGAAGAAAAATCCTTCGTGTTAAAGATGGATTTCCTAATTTTTTTAGTGTCAAATTAAGCAAACTATTTGATTGATTGGTGTTTCTAATGAATTATCATGTATTCTTAATCATATCATTATGTTCTTATTGCATATAATTAAAAGTTTTAACCAATCATAAATGTCCGTGTATGTACAGTCTGGATAAACAAAAAGAGACTTTTTGACCTTTCTTGATCGGTCACTCATTGGAATTCTGCTGATAAAACTCTTCTAATTTAACTAATTATGAATTAGTTATGGACATGTGAGACAAACTGGTATTTTTTCCAAGTCATTAGAACACCTCTACTTTCTATTCATAGTTTCAACCATAGGTATATTAAAAATTAATCAAAAGTGGCATGTGAATGCAAAAGAGGCCACAGTGTTCGTCCGATTTTGACAGAGTTCCAACTCTTCATATACAGAAAATATATATTAAAACTGGACTCATCTTGTTCACGTGTCAAAATTCTTTGTCAAAACTGTAATGCTGAAAGTAATTATTTAAATGTCTACCTTTACATTTCAGAAATATCAAGAGCGAGCCATACAGAAAGTCTTACAGCTGATGTTACGTCGTGGAGAAGTTCAACATAGAATGCAAAGAAAAATGTTATACAGAGTCAAATAAATCTGAAAACTATGTCAAAGATATAACAAAGCGTATGTTTTCAACTATATGAAGCTACTAAAAATTATTAAACATTGTATTGTAAGTTTAAATGGATTAGTGCTCATCATGTACTTATTCATCTTCACAATGTCAAGGTATTGCGAAGTCTTATACCTTGACTACAGTAGCCACCTTTCTTGCTTCAAGGAAGTTGGTAAATGGAGTGATTTGATTGGATAGAACCCAAGGGAATACAGCTAAAGAGAGCTGTATTGTTTACAACTGTTCTGTATTCGCTGGCGTATAATCCAATCAAATGGCTGCATTCGGCTATTGTAGTCAAGGTAAATGGCGAAGTTTGTTATACCTTGACCATTGTAAAGATGGTACTGATTAGAACTTGTTTTCCTGTTTTTGAAGTGCTTTCAGTTTCTGTACTACTTATATTCATTATTATCATATAAAATGTTTGGAATTTTTTCTATTGAATTTTGATGGATTGTATAAATTTGTAAATAAATATTCAGTGTACATTTACTACTTCATTAATTTTAATTGACAAGATACCTAATTTTGATCCATTTTGTACTACTTCAATGTCAGCTAACAATACAAGGCTCCTCCTATCGACCACCAACACCTTAATTTAAACCTACCCTTCGACTGTTTCGTGGCACAGGAACAGGGACATTGTAGAATATCTGGTAATGTCCATAATCCTTAAGCAACGGTACGATTATCATGATCATAATCACATAATCATAATCATCATTACATGGGTAATGTCTTGATGGACTCATAAATCTTTCAGCTTTGAATCATACAAAAGGTGCGTCAAATTTTGCTTTATTTTTTAAAAAAAAGCTATCTAAAATCGGATCGGGGCTACTCAAAAAAGCGATATTTTATGTTTGGCCATGAACGTGCCGATATCCAATCTGTGTATGAAGTCCAGGGATTGGGTACGATTTTCCGAAGCTGGTTTTTATAACACCAGCTGTGTGTGCTTTGATAATTTACGGCAACGATTATAACACTTTGCTATGGTGGCCCTCTCCCCCCTGTAGGTAAGAGAAACTGACATGGAAAACATCTTGTCGTTCGGATGGAACAATTAACCGAGATCCGCGTGCTACAGGCTGTGCACGTGAAAGATCCATCGACAGTTGGAAATCGAAAATTAGCAGGCTAATGTCACTTTCCCTCATTGTACACTGCATTTCTGATAGTTATTATTACAGAAGAGTAGGACGTAAAACTCCATTCATTTCATTTCATTTTTTGATAGTTATTATTGACGAAGGGAAAGGCTTGTTAGTCTGAATCACCAGTCTGTCTCAAACTTGTTGACTCTATATCAGACCCTTATGACATGATATCTATAAATAAATCATATCTAAGCCTATTCATCGACATAATACACTATCTGACACAATGTTTGGTACACCTATTCATTTCATTGTGTTTGTTAACATAACGTAATATTTCCGTAATCGTTTACAAAAACGTCAATCTTAACTTTTAATCCCGCTCTCATAGACCTATTGAAAATTAGACTTTTGTCTTTTGGTTGCCAAAATAAAGTTGTTTTTATTATCATTTAGTTATTAAAAGTATTTTTCGTCTTGAAGGGGTTTTGTCTTCTAATTATTTGATTTACAAGCTGTGTCAGTGGCGGAGCCAAAGTAAGGGGGCAGAGGGGGCAACCGCGAGTTTTCGGGCAAAAGTCTCAAAACTAGGTTAGAAATTCGGGCAATTGACTATTATCAATTTAGTCCTATACCTTGACTAAAGTAGCAATTATTCTTGGATTAACAGAACGACTTTCTGTCAAGGACTCTGATTGGTTGTATTCGATATTGTACAATCCAACCAAATCTCTGCATTTACGAATTTCCATGACACAAGAAAGATTATTACAGTCAAAGGTATCAGATGAAGTTCATAATAGCTTGACCATTGTGAAGGCGGTACAGAGACCGTATGACAGTCTTCATTATACCAATCATGTGTAGAAAAGTAGGACGTAAAACTCCATTTTCATTTCAATTTCAGGCTGTGCCTTACATATTCAAGATTCTAGTGTGGCAAGTTTAGATTGGTTCATCCAGAACGTTATGTACAGAGACAATCTTTATATTTGTTTTAATTCTGTGTCTGGAAAACCTCGTCTTCATTTATACTCCAAGGCCCCGGCTAACCCAGGTAAATTACGATTTCTTTTCAATAGACCAAAGAGACGCACCATGACAGTCATTGTATGGTTTGAATGGCAATTATGATTGTGACGTCATACTTTGTAGCAGGACTAGCCTTTAAGTGTGTTCGTTTACCAAAATTTACCTTCGAATTGTATTAAGCCCCTGTCAGTAATACAGATCGCTTGAACAATTAACGTTAAGGCGGAGAGGCCGTCATAGTCGTCGGGATGGGACAAGAAACCGAGGCCCCATGATTTCCCCTGACAGTGAATTATTAAAATAGTAGGCCAATGCCACTGTTTTGGGAAATATTCCACTCATTGCACTTTGCATTATGTTGTCCAATTGCCAATGGGGCCCTGTAGAATCACCACTGATTATAAGCCCTGTATAAGTGCAGAAAAACTCAAAACTCCAGTTCATAACCATAGTTCTTTTGTGGTAAGAAGATTGTTTGTCTTTGGGTTTTAGATTGTTATTGGAAGTTGATATCTGCAGTCAAAATTTTAATATGATTTATTTAGATTGATTCAAATGAAATATATATATTACATTATAACAAAAATTCATGATAAAATACAAACCTACTGCCAAACCACAATGTTCATAAACTCACATTTCGCCTGTTATTTTTCGTATGAATTGAAAGAATTGTTGATAATGATAAATTATCATTTACAAATATGATTTTACAGAAAGAAATGTTCAATCCGAAATATGGGTGATATGGAAAATTTCCGAGATCGTAAAGTAATTATTTTTTTTTACCAAAATCACAAATATTTCATTTCTATGGACCCTAAGAAATTTTGGTATGCGATTGAAATTTGTGAGAAAATGCTATTCCAGCTCATTGTGGATGAAGACTATCGAGATATATAAAACTTCAGAAAGTTGTAAAACCTCAGAAAGTTATAAAACCTCAGAAAGTAATAAAACCACAGAAAGTTATAAATCCACAGAAAGGTATAAAACCTAAGAAAGTTATAAAACCTAAGAAAGTTATAAAACCTCAGAAAGTTATAAAACCTAAGAAAGTTATAAAACCACAGAAAGTTATAAATCCACAGAAAGGTATAAAACCTAAGAAAGTTATAAAACCTAAGAAAGTTATAAAACCTCAGAAAGTAATAAAACCACAGAAAGTTATAAATCCACAGAAAGGTATAAAACCTAAGAAAGTTATAAAACCTAAGATAGTTATAAAACCTCAGAAAGTTATAAAACCTAAGAAAGGTATAAAACCTCAACTAGCCTCATGGTGTTTGATATCTTTAAAAAAATTACTTGAGATTTATATTGCTATATTACATGTATGCCATTAAGTTCTAGAACATCTGCAATAATTGCTTAATAACCTCATAAAGTTCTAAAACCTCATAGTGCTATAAAACCTCATAAATGTCTAAAATACCTTATTATAACATGCAAAAGTCTTTAAGTGACACTTAGAAGTAGTTAAAACATTAAATGAATAAAAACACTATTATGAATTCCTGTATGTGAATTGAAACGTAGCAAACATTAAAGAAAAGAGTTGTATATCCATTATCGTGTTTTTAAAAATATAAAAGGGAAATAAGCGCCATTTTTACAATAACAAAATAACAAAATCTTTTGTACACAGATATATTAGTTTTTTCGTAAAGATTTGAAAGCCATTCTTTGATTGCTAATGATGTTAAAAGAGGGAATAATCATTGTTTGGTTAGAACTATTAAAAGATGGCTCGATTTTCAAAATTTCTTTAACGCCCAGTTTTGATCATTCAGACTAAGAGAATGATGTTCACAATTATCACAGATAGAATAAACAAATAAATTCGGAAAAACCTCATAGTTTTCCAGGATTTGTTCCATAACCTCCGAAGGTTTTAAAACTATATGTAAATGATCCCTGACGGGTGATGATATTTTTGGATTGTAATCTCTCGCGGTATTTCTTTCTGAAAGTTAACCAGGGTTCGCCGTCATACTCTTCCTCGATGGTAGATTCCAGACCTCGATCCAAATGACTTCTGAGACGGTCCACAAAGGAAGACCACTCAGACCTTTCATCTTCGGTGGTTGTCGAACGTAATAGCGGCAATTCTGTCTCAACCAAACGTTCAGCTGAGCCAATTATCGATAATGAATTTTCAACCGGAAGATTCACGATTCGTTCTGACTGTTTGATTACTTCTTGTATAGCTGGTTCGTCAATATTCTGAAGAGCCGTGTATAGTTTCTCTCGCTGAGCATCCTCTTCGTGAGTTAAAGAGCCCTCAAAAAACATTGTGTCCATTCTAGCCAAAAGATGTACCCCTTGACCTCTGATGGAATCGGCAGCAGCGTCTCGTTCACTGAGGATTCGCGGGATATTTTCTTCCATGTAAGGTCCATGCATTCCAGTTTCGCGATCCATCAATCTTAAAACTTGAGCTCCACCAATACCTATTCCATCAGTTCCTGAATAAACAGCATGCTTGATATCATTAAATTTGAACCCAGCCGAGAAGTAAGTGACCAACCCTCTTAAATGAGCAGCATGGACGATGGACAGGGCTTCTTTAAAGTCGAGCTGATGCATGATGCATTTTGACGGGTAGGAGTCGCCTGCTCCATCCCACGTAACCTTGTCAAATCCACCAATACATGTAATTTCTATGGCCCGGAGAGCAATATCTATTCGCTCTGTCAATTCGACCGGGGTTTCCTTTTCATAATCATCTATGACAGTTTGGTTAAGGTTCCAAGCTGCCGACAGAAATTGGGACAGACGGTTTCTGAGAACTTGACATCTTAAAGCTCTCATGTATCGAACAGCTTCTGAAGTTTTCAATCCTTCCATGGCAATCTTACATTCTGCACTGCCCTGACCAAAAGCTGCCGAGGCCGTAGCAGATGTCATATGAACGACTTTCAAGAAATCGTTACCAAAGACTCCAGAATCTTTCATGCGTCTGCCGACATAGAAGGTAATTGGTGCGGCTGAACCGACATGGAGCCGAACGCGTGAAAAATCCTGCAGGGATGGGACACGGTATGTCTCTATTTCTGGTCTAGGAAGATTACCAGGTCTTTCTAAATATTCAACATGTACCATAGCTCCTGTCATCCAGTCGTTAAATCGTGTCGTACCGAGAACGTGACCATCGCCGGGGTCTGTAAGTGCAATGTATGTCTGGGTGTGAGGTCTGAATCCTGGTGATCCTAGAGGTCGTGATTTTGATGTTAATTGTTTACCATTAGCGATGCTGTTATAAGCCAAATGGATAGCAAGGTACTCTGTCGGTGTTGGCTGTCTTCGTTCATCACGTAAAGCTTGTAACATTAGGCTGACTGTATCCAAAAATACCGGAGAAAATTTCTGGTCGTCCCATGTGATGCTCATCTTATTTAGATTATCTTCAACTGTAAAATTGATGTACCCGGTTCCATCCTCAGGAACGGTGCCGATACAGGTTTTGAGCTCCACTTTCCACTCTCTGACGATTTCCCTAGCATGGCGACACACCCTGAATATGGTGTCGAGGATTTGGCGCACGGTTTTGGCTGTAAAAATGTCCTGACCAATGTTTGAAAACAGTTCAATCTTATTCGGGTCTTGTTTAAAAACAACGCGAAGTCGTTTACGAAGTTGATCATGGACAGCCTTGATATCAGTAGCTGTAGTCATGGCTAGTTCGTCCCTGGATTTAAATTCCTGGTTTGTACTGTTTTTGTCAAGCTTGATTCTGATATTGTAGAGGTTTAATATGACGTCTTGAAGTACTGAAAGAGTCACCTGACGAAGTGTACCTACTCCCAAATACATGACGCTGGTGTCCTGAAAATAAAATAGGAGCTATATTAGATCATTTTACCTTAAGAAAGAGGTGATTGTTATGCACCAACTTCCTTACAGATTACTTGGACTTGGGGTGGTTATGCCCAAAATATATTATCCTAGTCGCTAATAGCACAAACAGAAACCGCCATAAACTTTCTATCAGTTCTGACGGCTGAAAGAAATCATACAACTGTAAAAAGTTAGCTCGGATACTAAAACAAAATGTTCATATGAAATCAAATTAATCGTGGAATGATCGAGGTGTGAGTCAGTTGTTCTGGGTCGAGGCAATGAAATGGAGTTTTATGTCCTATTTTGGAAGACGGACATCAATGCATTATGCGATGTGACAAGAAAAATATTTTCAGTTATTAGTTAACTTATGACTCTTTCAAATGCAATGCAATGGAGTTTAATGTCCTGCTTGCTTGTGGTACTAACCCGACAACTCTGTCTCAGTTCCTCAGATGTGATATACGCATACATATTGACTATATTATCACATCCGTATATAACCCAATGACGATATTACACCCGTATAACACCCATGGCGATATCACATCCGCATATCACCCAATGACGATATCACATCCGTACATCACCCATGGCGATATCACACCCGTATATTACCAGGACGATATCACACCTCTATAGCACCCAATGACGATATTACATCCGTATATCACCCAATGACAATATCACATCCGTATACCACCCAATGACGTACTGAGAAGGGTCAGAGTCGTAGGAGACATGTAATGAAAGACAATGCCATGCAGTGTACAATAAGGAAGAAGGTTCAAAGTATTTACCTTTGACATTTTAGAGTAATATAAATAACGTGCTATTCCGATGCCTAACGCCAGAATATTATAATTGATAAAACACCCAGCACTAGTGAGGTCAACACAATTTCTTCTGTCACAATCATTGAAACTGAAAGTAAGAATAAATATAATTAGCCTGATTAAAATGCAATCCAATCGGAAAAGTCAAATCTACACCTACATACATACCTATGCGTTTTTTTCAGATAATGAACAAGATAATCATTTATTACATTATCAAATCGGAAAACTCAAACCTAATTCACACTTTCAAATTCAGATATTAAAATTAATCCATTCAAAAATAGTCACATGTTATTTTTTTACGAAAGGACTTTAAATAGGTTAGTGAATGATAGTCTATTCATCTCGTCTCATTTCTTTAAATTGAGTAATAATAAGGAATGGGTCTATTCATAGAATTGACTATAATTGTAACAATATCTGGATTGTAGAGAGTAGTGCAACAAATAAGAGAACTACGAAACAGGAGAATAAAGAATAGAGCTCTAGAAAAACAAAGAAAAGTTATAGGATAAAAATGTCTATGATAATTGCACAAAGTCCTAAAACTTATTTCGGTTCAGATATACAAAAGTCATTAGGTTCTCTTCTTGGGTTTCCATGGAATATGTAGTAATAGAAAGATTTAACAGAACACTTAAATCCAAACTGTTTAAAAAATTCACAGAACTAAAATCTCAAAAATGGTTAAAGATTTTACCCACTATAGTGTCAGAATACAATAATAAAATTCATTCTTCTATCGATGTTCCTCCAATGGAAGCTAGTCAAAATCCAGAAATCATAAAGTTTTCTTCCACCCTTTATAATTTTGAAAATGAAATAAAGGAGGATATAAACGTTAATGAAAAGTTTAAAGATAGAGATTGCATTCGTATTTTTAAATATAAAAGTAAATTCGAGAAGGGCTATGTTGGTTATGGGCAAACGAAATATTTATCGTAGATAAAGTAAATAGTAAATCACCTCAAACATATGAATTAATCGATCAAGACAAAGAACAAATCATAGGTAGGTTTTATCAAAACGAACTTTTAAAAATGAATACCAAACCTTTAAATATTCTGGAATACAACTTCTTTCATAAGTTTGTTATATTTTAGCAAACAAGCTCCAAGACACAGGGTACCCCTTTTTGCATATGGTTCCCATTCGTGTCTTAAAGATTCCCAATTATCTTCGGTATATTTAGCAATGTCTACATCAATGATCTTTCTCAAATTCATTGGTAGATTAGATGAATTCCCCCATGCCGCCAAACTGGATTTTTCATGTTGAACATGTGAAATTAATACATTCTAAGTAATTTTTATTGCTGGTTGTTATTTCTTTTTGTCTTTTCCATTTTATCTGTAAATCTTCATCAGTGAAAGGGTAAGATAAAGGTAAAAACAGAATACCTCTCTGTGTTAGTAATGGACAATGTGATAGCTTCTTTGTGTTTTTAAGTACGATCCAGTTATAAAAACCACTACCGTTATGAGAAATCAGTGTTAATCTTTTTCTATCATATTGACCTAAATATTGAAACATTTGACCGATACATTTTTACCCACAAATATTTCTACTATATTCATTCGTTGATTATAAAAATTTTCTGGAATAGGATTTAGATCTGGAATTCTCTGTAACTTTTTTCTTAGTTATTTCTAAATTAATTAACGTACAGGAATAAGGAATTGCTTTGTGCGTTTCACTTTCTGTATATGTTTTACAATCCCAAGCGAACAAAGCATCATACTTGAAAACACGTTAAGTTTTAGGTAAGACTTGTTCAACCGTATTATCGTCTCTACACGTTTTTCATACTTGTTCATAATTATCTTCTATTTCTTTAATACCTAAACTTTTATATATGATAAATCTTTGTTCAATACACGATTTACACATTTGATAAAACCGTTCCATCTGTTGGTATGTAACAATTTTTGCCTATATGTTCATTTATCTTTTTAAGTAGTTGAGTTCCTCTACCAACATTTGATATTTTTATTTTTTTTGAAATTGTCTTTATGTAAAACTATTTTTCCTGTAAAATAGCAAATCAGAGCAGTCGGATTTTTCTTCCATATTTCTTGAAATATTATTAAAAGTTTTGGCATTGAAACCAAGAAGTCTCATATCTTGTTTGTATAGTCCATCCTGAAATATCTTTCCATATATTTCAAGTATTTTTAAGCTTATTTATTGATGATATTTCGACATCAAATTTATGTAAAATTTCATTGAATTCTTCTAGTTCTTCAACGATTAGGCTCTTATCTTCTATTGATCTTTCGAAAAAAATAAGGAATTTATCAAGATAAGAATTCAATATTTCTGTTTGTCTATCATGTATTGTTGTCTGCTGCTTCGGGTTCCATTTTTAAATTAAGTGAACTTCTGATACACTAAAAGATGGAAAGGATGAAACATCCTTCATCTCCCCGCCTCCAGGTATAGTTTGTTTATCTTTAATGATAAATATTTCAGGATCACACATAATAACTTCTACAGTTACTAACGATATTTGTTCGTTTGAATCATTAATCTTGTTTAGATGAACTTGGTTTTTGGATATTGATATTAGTAGTGAATGTAAAAGTATATGCGCCACCAATTTTTATTTTATTATCATCTTCAATTATTGATGAATATATTATAAAATCTTTACCTTCTTGACTTTTATGAAGATCAATTGATGTGTAAAAACGGGTTTACCTTTGTAAATTTGGGAAAAATTAGTTTGAACAAAAAATCGTTTGACGTATCCAAAGTCTGATGTTCGTAAAAACGTATATATTCTTTTTGTGGTTCTGGATTTCTAATAATATTCATTGATGGTGGAGTTTCCGTCTCCAATATCATATCAGAATCTCTCAATCCATGAGGAGTATCATCTGGTGGTATGATTAACATTCTAAAGTCATCTATATATTTTCCATTTGTTTCATACAAGTCATTTGTTTCATACAAGTCATCAACCTTATTGTTTTTGTTGTTAATTTCTAATTTTATAGTTTCTTCATATTCTCTACCATTGATAAAGTGAAGAATTTTACGAGCTTTAAATTGCTTAGCTATAGAGGTTTGCGAGAAGAATATTGAATCGATTTTTACCTTCATAGGAAAAATAATTTCAATTAGAGCTTTTCATCAGAAAAAACAATCCTGGAAAATTGTTATCATAGCTAAATATTTCTGCGAAGAGCGCGCCACCTTTTCACAATCTCCAATAATTCGCTGTTTCATATCCAGAGACACATCAGTACGGGCACGCTTCGCAGTTGCATATTTGTGTTCTACAATGAATGAAACGAGTACCCATGCCATTTGGTCTAAAGGCATGATCTTGAAGCGAGGTCATTGGCGGTGATTAATCAGCAGAATTTAGTTGAGCGATCTTTTGTTTTCATGTGGTTTGATCCGGATTATCAATAAAATAAGCGATTATCTAATTGACTATAAGTGATTAAGATGAGTAGATATCGGATTATATTTTCTCATTGTCCGGACCATTGATTAGTATCGTAATTCGGAATACACAGTGTCGGAGTACTCAGAGTTTTTTTTAAATCTAGCCTAAGAAGAAACCAATCGGGACCAGAAAATGATGTCGGATTACGCAGAATGTCGGAATACTCAGATGTCGGATATCACAGTACAATGTAAGTTTATAGGGTCTCCATATTCTACATTAGAAGATATCTTTATTTTTATTCTAAATCCATATTTTATAAATTCATAAATTATTGAATCACTACAAACGTTTTTTTCGTTTATCTTCAATCTTCATCACTCAATTTCCAAATGGAAGATTGAAATAATATGATTTATTTTCTTCCTTGAGATTCTTTTCTAATATGGTTATCTTTTTTTCCTGTTTTAAAACTTCGTTATTAATAGTAGTTATCTGTTGTTGAATAACACTATCATCAATATTTTGTATTAAATACAAATTTTGTTGTTTAATATTTGTTAGTTCTTTGTGTAATTCAGTGTCAAATTTAGTTTGCAGAGCAGTTAATTCCTGTTGAAATGTGTCTTCATTTTAACCTGGAATGTTATCTATTAATTGTTGAACATCTATTTTTTGTTTTGCAATCTTACCATCTAATTGAGATATCAATGAAATTAAATTTTGTAACTGAGCTTTGTTCGCTACATTGACCAATTGCTGTTGAATAAATCTTTTCAAACCTGTTGCCTCTTGCTGTAGTTTAGTATCATTATTAAAAATTTTATTGTTTAGTTGACGTTTGAAGAATCTTTTCACATTACTTATTTTATCTTCTAAATGGTTTTTATCTACTTCAGTTGAGCGTTCTGTTAAATCTCTCTATTACTACAGCTTTTCCCTCGTTATGAGTACTGTAAATTTCAAACCCAAGTGATTTTACGTTTCTGTGATAAAACTCGGTTCCAACGTTGGATTTGGAATATTTCCAAGTTCGTTAATCATTTCTTTGTCTGTTTTGTGTCTAAACTTTATGTCTTTATTTCTGTATAAAATATCATGTTTAAGTGCAGCAGCATCAACTCTATTGACAGGTTCTTCATCTGGTTTGGGTTTATCGTTTTCGTCTAATCGTAGATCTAACCTTGTACCTGGACCAGTGTAGTTATGACCCAGAAGATGTTTTTCTCCAGAATACGTTTCCCATGGAAATCCAGGAAGAGAACCTAATGATTTTTTAATATCTGAACCAAAATAAGTTTTAGGACTTTTTGAAATAATCATAAACATTTTTATCCTATAACTTAAAAACCTTTTCATTGTTTTTCTAAAGTTCGATTTTTTATTCTCCTGTTTCGCAGTTCTCTTATTTGCTGTAATTCATTCAATTCACTGCATCGCTTGTACTAATTCCTGTTGTTTGAAACAAATCTGGCTACTTTTGGAATTAGAGAATATAGTACTGAAAAGAAACCGTCGCCTGAATAATCTGTAGTTTCGAATTTGTGTCGTTTGTGCCCCAAAATTAAACTCATCCTGATTTTCTAAACGAGTTAATTTAATAGCAACGGTACTATTTATACAAACATGATATTGTTACAATAATAGTCAATATTATGAATTAGACCAATCCCTTTTTTATTGCTCAATTCATGGGAATGAATAGACTGTTGTTCATTGAAAAATAACACATGACTATTTTGTATGGATTAAATTTAATAAGTGATTTAATGTAATAAGGATTATATTGTTCAGGATTGCATTTTATATAAATAAACCAATCTTACTGTGGGATTTCATATATATGGTGAAATGTAGATTAGATATATGTTTTTTTTTCATATTATGAAAGGTTATACTACTTAGACCAGAGCTGGAATCTTTCATAGTACTAAGCTGCGTGTCCAAAAAGAGGATGATTTTGATCAAAGTCACTAAACGCCGTACACTCTACAGCCCTTGAGAGTCACACATGGAAAAATGCACATTTTAGTTAGATGTTATTCCATTTAAAAGCATCTTCACTATGTCAATTTTCTTCTATCACAGTAGTTTGTAAATGCGATTGTACACTAGCGAATACAGCCAATCAGTCTGTAAAACGCTTATTGTTTACAGATTTTTGTCGAGGTCTATGATTGGCTGTATTCGCTGGGGTACAATCCAAACAAATCGCTACGGTTCTGTGATACAAGACAAGTTTCTATTGGAGTCAAGGTATAATATGAAGTTTGTAATACCTTGACAATTGTGAAGATGACCTATAAACAGAGTTTAATTTCTCATATACTCTGACCAAAGAGAAATCCATTATAACCTATACTCTGCATATTTTACTATCTTGCTGAACACAATAATTTCAAAAAATTGCTTGAATTGACGAAAAAAATGTAACTTTATAATATAAATCATTTAGAAACGCTCAAAATAAAAGCTAAAAGTGTCAAAATAATATTTCCTATACCTCTAGATACTATAATTCCAAAGTAGCAGCACAGTACTGATAGTACTAATAAATACCAACTATTCAGACTTCAGACTACTTAATGATATACCTTTAGCTGCATAGATGTTTTATATCTTGCAATTTTATTATAATTACAACCCCGACATGAATCGTTCACGTGAATCATAAGGGATCCGGATCATGTTATGCATAAGTACAAGAAATTCCTGGGGAAACATACATTAATAGTATATACCTTTCATATGGAACGCAGTCAAACATAAAAAACGCTCAATTTCCACGTAGTCAACACAGTCTAATTTTAGTTTGTATAATTTTTATTACTATCAATTCTACCTTAAGTTAAAATGGACTGGCATAGATCAATGTAGAAGATATTACAAAGCGAATGTTTTCAACTATATGAAGCTACTTAAAATTATTAAACATTGTATTGTAAGTTTAAATGGATTAGTGCTCATCATGTACTTATTCATCTTCACAATGTCAAGGTATTGACGTTTGCTTTATAGCTTGACTGCAAAAGCCACATTTCTTGCTTCACGGAAGTTGGTAAATGGAGTGATTTGATTGGATAGAACCCAAGGGAATACAGCTAATCAGAGCTGTATTTTTTACAACCGTTCTGTCGATATCTCTGATTGGCTATATTAGCTGGCGTACAATCCAATCAAATTGCTGCATTCCGTAAGACAAGAAAGGTGGCTATTGTAGTCAAGGTAAATGGCGAAGTTTGTTATACCTTGATCACTTTGAAGATGGCACTGATTAGAACTTTGTTGTATTCCTGTTTTTGAAGTGCTTTCAGTTTCTGTACTACTTATATTCATTATCATCATCTAGAATGTGCATGTTTGAAATTTTTGATGGATTGTATTAATTTGTAAATAAATATTCAGTGTACAATAATACTACATTAATTATACGCCCACATGAAATGGGCGTATATTGTCGTCATCCATGTCCGTCCGTCCACAATTGCTCGTTAACACTCTACAAGGCACTGATTTCGACGAAACTTATTATGGTTGTTTGTAATCACCCACGGATGAACCCTATTGAAAATCTATTCTTGACAGATTTTGATGAATTTTGGTAACATTGTTCAGTATCACCCTAAAAAGTTCAAAAGAAGTGTATGTCTGAAGGTTGAATATTTCATACTGGTAATTGTTACCGTTCTGCCAAATATTTTTATTTAAATCAAAGCTGCCAGTGGGCGTATATTACCTTGCCTCTTTTAAATTGACAAGATCCCTGGTTTTGGTCCCTTTCGTACTACAATGTCAGCTTACAGTACAAGGTTCCGCCTACCGACCAACTTAATTTAAACCAATCCCTCGATTGATTCGTGACACAGGCTCAGGGACAATGTAGAATATCTGGTAATGTCTTGGTGGACTCATAAATGTTCCAGCTTAGAATAGATACAAAAAGGTGCCGTCAAATTTTGCTTTTGTCAAGCATGTTTAAAAAAAGTTATCCAAAATGAATCGGGGCTACTCATAAAAGTGACATTTTATGTTTGGCCCCGAACATGCCGATATCTCATCTGTGTATGAAGTCCTAGAAATTTGTTGTGCTTAAATGCTTTTTAAAATTTTCTGAAGCTGGTTTTTTATAACGCCCACTGTGTGTGCCTTATACATCTCTGATAATTTACTACAACGCTTATAGTACTTTGCTATGGTGGACAAACAAAGCCTGTAATGTAGCGCCCGTTTCTTGATAACAATGACAAATTATGGAATATTAGCGACAAGGAGGCTGTCATATTACTCTACTTTCGGATTTTACCTGTCCACAATTCGAAATATGGCCGATATAAAACCACAGAGAGTTATAAAGCTTCAACTAGCCTCATAGTGTTTGATATCTTAAAAAAAAATCTTGAGATTTATATTGCTATATTACTTGTATGCCATTAAGTTCTAGAACCTCTGCAATAATTGCTTAATAACCTCATAAATTTCTAACTCCTCATAGTGCTATAAAACCTCATAAATGTCTAAAATACATTATTATAACCTCACAATATAGTCTATAGACATTTAGAAGTAGTTAAAACATTAAATGAATAAAAACACTATTATGGATTCCTATATGTGAATTGAAGTGCTTTCAGTTTCTGTACTACTTATATTCATTATTATCATATAAAATGTTTGGAATTTTTTCTATTGAATTTTGATGGATTGTATAAATTTGTAAATAAATATTCAGTGTACATTTACTACTTCATTAATTTTAATTGACAAGATACCTAATTTTGATCCATTTTGTACTACTTCAATGTCAGCTAACAATACAAGGCTCCTCCTATCGACCACCAACACCTTAATTTAAACCTACCCTTCGACTGTTTCGTGGCACAGGAACAGGGACATTGTAGAATATCTGGTAATGTCCATAATCCTTAAGCAACGGTACGATTATCATGATCATAATCACATAATCATAATCATCATTACATGGGTAATGTCTTGATGGACTCATAAATCTTTCAGCTTTGAATCATACAAAAGGTGCGTCAAATTTTGCTTTATTTTTTAAAAAAAAGCTATCTAAAATCGGATCGGGGCTACTCAAAAAAGCGATATTTTATGTTTGGCCATGAACGTGCCGATATCCAATCTGTGTATGAAGTCCAGGGATTGGGTACGATTTTCCGAAGCTGGTTTTTATAACACCAGCTGTGTGTGCTTTGATAATTTACGGCAACGATTATAACACTTTGCTATGGTGGCCCTCTCCCCCCTATAGGTAAGAGAAACTGACATGGAAAACATCTTGTCGTTCGGATGGAACAATCAACCGAGATCCGCGTGCTACAGGCTGTGCACGTGAAAGATCCACCGACAGTTGGAAATCGAAAATTAGCAGGCTAATGTCACTTTCCCTCATTGTACACTGCATTTCTGATAGTTATTATTGCAGAAGAGTAGGACGTAAAACTCCATTCATTTCATTTCATTTTTTGATAGTTATTATTGACGAAGGGAAAGGCTTGTTAGTCTGAATCACCAGTCTGTCTCAAACTTGTTGACTCTATATCAGACCCTTATATTATTGGGGAATGATTATAAATCGGATTCCAGCGACATGATATCTATAAATAAATCATATCTAAGCCTATTCATCGACATAATACACTATCTGACACAATGTTTGGTACACCTATTCATTTCATTGTGTTTGTTAACATAACGTAATATTTCCGTAATCGTTTACAAAAACGTCAATCTTAACTTTTAATCCTGCTCTCATAGACCTATTGAAAATTAGACTTTTGTCTTTTGGTTGCCAAAATAAAGTTGTTTTTATTATCAATTAGTTATTAAAAGTATTTTTCGTCTTGAAGGGGTTTTGTCTTCTAATTATTTGATTTACAAGCTGTGTCAATGGCGGAGCCAAAGTAAGGGGGCAGAGGGGGCAACCGCGAGTTTTCGGGCAAAAGTCTCAAAACTAGGTTAGAAATTCGGGAAATTGACTATTATCAATTTAGTCCTATACCTTGACTAAAGTAGCAATTATTCTTGGATTAACAGAACGACTTTCTGTCAAGGACTCTGATTGGTTGTATTCGCTTTGTACAATCCAACCAAATCTCTGCATTTACGAATTTCCATGACACAAGAAAGATTATTACAGTCAAAGGTATCAGATGAAGTTCATAATAGCTTGACCATTGTGAAGGCGGTACAGAGACCGTATGACAGTCTTCATTATACCTATCATGTGTAGAAAAGTAGGACGTAAAACTCCATTTTCATTTCAATTTCAGGCTGTGCCTTACATATTCAAGATTCTAGTGTGGCAAGTTTAGATTGGTTCATCCAGAACGTTATGTACAGAGACAATCTTTATATTTGTTTTAATTCTGTGTCTGGAAAACCTCGTCTTCATTTATACTCCAAGGCCCCGGCTAACCCAGGTAAATTACGATTTCTTTTCAATAGACCAAAGAGACGCACCATGACAGTCATTGTATGGTTTGAATGGCAATTATGATTGTGACGTCATACTTTGTAGCAGGACTAGCCTTTAAGTGTGTTCGTTTACCAAAATTTACCTTCGAATTGTATTAAGCCCCTGTCAGTAATACAGATCGCTTGAACAATTAACGTTAAGGCGGAGAGGCCGTCATAGTCGTCGGGATGGGACAAGAAACCGAGGCCCCATGATTTCCCCTGACAGTGAATTATTAAAATAGTAGGCCAATGCCACTGTTTTGGGAAATATTCCACTCATTGCACTTTGCATTATGTTGTCCAATTGCCAATGGGGCCCTGTAGAATCACCACTGATTATAAGCCCTGTATAAGTGCAGAAAAACTCAAAACTCCAGTTCATAACCATAGTTCTTTTGTGGTAAGAAGATTGTTTGTCTTTGGGTTTTAGATTGTTATTGGAAGTTGATATCTGCAGTCAAAATTTTAATATGATTTATTTAGATTGATTCAAATTAAATATATATATTACATTATAACAAAAATTCATGATAAAATACAAACCTACTGCCAAACCACAATGTTCATAAACTCACATTTCGCCTGTTATTTTTCGTATGAATTGAAAGAATTGTTGATAATGATAAATTATCATTTACAAATATGATTTTACAGAAAGAAATGTTCAATCCGAAATATGGGTGATATGGAAAATTTCCGAGATCGTAAAGTAATTATTTTTTTTTTACCAAAATCACAAATATTTCATTTCTATGGACCCTAAGAAATTTTGGTATGCGATTGAAATTTGTGAGAAAATGCTATTCCAGCTCATTGTGGATGAAGACTATCGAGATATATAAAACTTCAGAAAGTTGTAAAACCTCAGAAAGTTATAAAACCTCAGAAAGTAATAAAACCACAGAAAGTTATAAATCCACAGAAAGGTATAAAACCTAAGAAAGTTATAAAACCTAAGAAAGTTATAAAACCTCAGAAAGTTATAAAACCTAAGAAAGGTATAAAACCTCAACTAGCCTCATGGTGTTTGATATCTTTAAAAAAATTACTTGAGATTTATATTGCTATATTACATGTATGCCATTAAGTTCTAGAACATCTGCAATAATTGCTTAATAACCTCATAAAGTTCTAAAACCTCATAGTGCTATAAAACCTCATAAATGTCTAAAATACCTTATTATAACATGCAAAAGTCTTTAAGTGACACTTAGAAGTAGTTAAAACATTAAATGAATAAAAACACTATTATGAATTCCTGTATGTGAATTGAAACGTAGCAAACATTAAAGAAAAGAGTTGTATATCCATTATCGTGTTTTTAAAAATATAAAAGGGAAATAAGCGCCATTTTTACAATAACAAAATAACAAAATCTTTTGTACACAGATATATTAGTTTTTTCGTAAAGATTTGAAAGCCATTCTTTGATTGCTAATGATGTTAAAAGAGGGAATAATCATTGTTTGGTTAGAACTATTAAAAGATGGCTCGATTTTCAAAATTTCTTTAACGCCCAGTTTTGATCATTCAGACTAAGAGAATGATGTTCACAATTATCACAGATAGAATAAACAAATAAATTCGGAAAAACCTCATAGTTTTCCAGGATTTGTTCCATAACCTCCGAAGGTTTTAAAACTATATGTAAATGATCCCTGACGGGTGATGATATTTTTGGATTGTAATCTCTCGCGGTATTTCTTTCTGAAAGTTAACCAGGGTTCGCCGTCATACTCTTCCTCGATGGTAGATTCCAGACCTCGATCCAAATGACTTCTGAGACGGTCCACAAAGGAAGACCACTCAGACCTTTCATCTTCGGTGGTTGTCGAACGTAATAGCGGCAATTCTGTCGCAACCAAACGTTCAGCTGAGCCAATTATCGATAATGAATTTTCAACCGGAAGATTCACGATTCGTTCTGACTGTTTGATTACTTCTTGTATAGCTGGTTCGTCAATATTCTGAAGAGCCGTGTATAGTTTCTCTCGCTGAGCATCCTCTTCGTGAGTTAAAGAGCCCTCAAAAAACATTGTGTCCATTCTAGCCAAAAGATGTACCCCTTGACCTCTGATGGAATCGGCAGCAGCGTCTCGTTCACTGAGGATTCGCGGGATATTTTCTTCCATGTAAGGTCCATGCATACGAGTTTCTTTATCCATAAATCTTAAAACTTGAGCTCCACCAATACCTATTCCATCAGTTCCTGAATAAACAGCATGCTTGATATCATCAAATTTGAACCCAGTCGAGAAGTAAGTGACCAACCCTCTTAAATGAGCAGCATGGACGATGGACAGGGCTTCTTCAAAGGTGAGCTGATGCATGATGCATTTTGACGGGTAGGAGTCCATCCCACGTAACCTTGTCAAATCCACCAATACATGTAATTTCTATGGCCCGGAGAGCAATGTCTATTCGCCCCGTCAATTCGACCGGGGTTTCCTTTTCATAATCATCTATGACAGTTTGGTTAAGGTTACAAGCTGCCGACAGAAATTGGGACAGTCGGTTTCTGAGAACTTGACATCTTAAAGCTCTCATGTATCGAACAGCTTCTGAAGTTTTCAATCCTTCCATGGCAATCTTACATTCTGCACTGCCCTGACCAAAAGCTGCCGAGGCCGTAGCAGATGTCATATGAACGACTTTCAAGAAATCGTCATCAAAGTCCCCAGAGTCTTTCACGTGTCTGCCGACAAAGAAGGTAATTGGTGCGGCTGAACCCACATGGAGTCGGACGCGTGAAAATTCCGGCAGAGATGGGACACGGTATGTCTCTATTTTTAGTCTAGGAAGATTGCCAGGCCTTTCTAAATATTCAACATGTACTATAGCTCCTGTCATCCAGTCGTTAAATCGTGTCGTACCGAGAACGTGACCATCACCGGGATCTGTAAGTGCAATGTATGTCTGGGTGTGAGGTCCTGATGATCCTAGAGGTCTTGATTTTGATGTTAATTGTTTACCATTAGCAATGCAGTTATAAGCCAAATGGATAGCAAGGTACTCTGTCGGTGTTGGCTGTCTTCGTTCATCACGTAAAGCTTGTAACATTAGGCTGACTGTATCCAAAAATACCGGAGCAAATTTCTGGTGGTCCCACGTGATGCTCATCTGATTTAGATCATCTTTTACTGTAAAATTGATGTACCCGGTTCCATCCTCAGGAACGGTGCCAGTAAAAGTTTCGGCCTCAACTTTCCACCCCCTGATGATTTCCCTAGCATGGCGACACACCCTGAATATGGCGTCGAGGATTTGGCGCACGGAGTTGGCTGTAAAGATGTCCTGACCAATGTTTGAAAACAGTTCAATCTTATTCGGGTCTTGTTTAAAAACAACGCAAAGTCGTTTACGAAGTTGATCATGGACAGCCTTGATGTCAGAAGCTGTAGTCATGGCTAGTTCGTCCCCGGATTTAAATTCATGGTTTAAATTACTGTCAAGCTTGATTTTGATATTGTAGAGGTTTATTATGACGTAGTAATGAGAGAGTCACCCGACGAAGTGTACCTACTCCTAAATACATGACGCTGGTGTCCTGAAAATAAAATAGGAGCTATATTAGATCATTTTTACCTTAAGAAAGAGGTGATTGTTATGCACCAACTTCCTTACAGATTACTTGGACTTAGGGGTGGTTATGCCCACAATATATTATCCTAGCCATAAACTTTCTATCAGTTCTGAAGGCTGAAAGAAATCATGCAACTGTAAAAAGTTAGCTCGGATACAAAAACAAAAAGTTCATATGAAATCAAATTAATCGTGGAATGATCGAGGTGTGAGTCAGTTGTTCTGGGTCGATTTAATGAGTAAAGTTTTATGTCCTACTTGTCAGGTTCTGTCTCAGTTCCTCAGATGTGATATACGCCTACATAGTGACTATATTATCACATTCGTATAATACCAAATGACGATATTACACCCGTACATCAACAAATGACGATATCACATCCGTATATCACTCAATGACGATATCATACCCGTATATCACCTGGACGATATCACACTTATATAGCACCCAATGACGATATCACATCCGTATATCACCCATGGCGATATCATACCCGTATATCACCTGGACGATATCACACTTATATAGCACCCAATGACGATATCACATCCGTATATCACCCAATGACAATATCACATCCGTATACCACCCAATTCCGTACTAAGAAGAGTCAGAGTCGTTCGAGACATGTAACGAAAGACCATGCAGTGTACAATAAGGAAGAAGGTTCAAAGTATTTACCTTTGGCATATAATATAAATAACATGTTTTTCCAATGCATAAAGCCAAACATATTATAATAAATAAAACACCCACCACCAGTAAGATCAACAAAATTTCTTCTGTCAAATTCATTGAAACTGAAAGTAAGAATAAATATAATTAGCCTGATTTAAGGGCCTGCTTCATTATTCATTCTGGTCAGTCAAACATGTAAACGAAACCACCCAGTCTTGAAGGCAATGATCAAATCTGAGAATGACAGTAGTATATGACTTTTCCGATTGAACGCATTAAAATGCAATCCAATCGGAAAAGTCAAATCTACACCTACAAACATACCTATGCGGTTTTTTTTCAGATAATGAACAATATAATCATTTATTACATTATCAAATCGGAAAACTCAAACCTAATTCACACTTCTACGAAAGGACTTTAAATAGGTCAATGAATAATTGTCTATTCATCTCGTCTCATTTCTTTGAATTGAGTAATAAAAAGGGATGGGTCTATTCATAGAATTGACTATAATTGAAACAATATCTGGATTGTAGAGAGTAGTGCAAAAACACCGTTGCTGAACCGCTTAATTAGAATCCTATATTCTCCATTAAAATAACTTAATTAAAAATAAGATGAGTTTGATTTCAAAGCACGAACAACACAAATTCAAAACTCAGGCGACGGTTTCTTTTCAGCATTATCTTCTCTAATTCCAAAAGTAGCCAGTTTTGTTTCAAACAACAAATCACTTCTTTCTTCTGAAGCTCAAGCTCTAGGTTCTGTTGCAAAAGCATGAGTTCGAATAAACGATGTTGTGAAAAAGTCTAACGAGTTTAAAGAATTACAACAAATAAGAGAACTATGGAACAGGAGAATAGAAAATCGAGCTTTAGAAAAACAAAGAAAAGTTATAGGATAAAAATGTCTATGATAATTGCACAAATTCCTAAATTTAATTTGGTTCAGATATACAAAAGTCATTAGGTTCTCTTCCTGGGTTTCCATGGGCAATGTATTCCAGGTCATAATTACACTGGTCCAGGTATGAGGTTAGATCTACGATTAGACGAAAACGATAAACCCACTTAAACATGATATTTTATACAGAAATAAAGACATATAGTTCAGACACGAAGCAGACAAACAAATGGTAATCGAACATCAAAATATTCTTAACCCAACGTTCAAAGAGAAAATGCAAAGAGCGCCGATTATAAAACTGTTAAAAGCAAAGATGAAATTGGGTATGGTATTAGCAGATGAAATTCATAAAGAATTTAGAAAAAAACAAACATGATTTAAAAGTTAAAAAATATGGTCAGCTGATTTAATTAATATGCCTTTTGAAAGAAGATATAAATAATGTTGAACAGTTATAGATTTATATACCAGATATGACTGGGTTATTCATTTGAAAAACAAATCAGGATTATCAGTAAAACATGTTTTGATTATGAAACAATCTGGCAGAAAACCATAGAAATTATGGGTTGATGCAGGAACAAAGTTTTATAACAGAAATGTAAAATCACTTGGGTTTGAAATTTACAGTACTTATAACGAGGGAAAAGCTGTAGTAATAGAAAGATTTAACAGAACGCTTAAATTCAAACTGTTTAAAAAATTCACAGAACTAAAATCTCAAAATGGTTAAAGATTTTACCCACTATAGTGTCAGAATACACTAATAAAATTCATTCTTCTATCGGTGTTTAGCAATGTCTACATCCATGATCTTTCTCAAATTCATTGGTACATTTTATAAATTCCCCCATGCCGCCAAACTGGATTTTTCATGTTGAACATGTGAAATTAATACATTCTAAGTAATTTTTATTGCTGGTTGTTATTCCTTTTTGTCTTTTCCATTTTATCTGTAAATCTTCATCAGACAAAGGTAAAGACAGAATACCTCTCTGTGTTAGTAGTGGACAATGTGATAGCTTCTTTGCGTTTTTAAGTACGACCCAGTTATCAAAACCACTACCGTTATGAGAAATCAATGTTAATCTTTTTTCTGTCATATTGACCTAAATATTGAAAAATTTGACCGATATACTTTTCACCCACAAATATTTCTACTATATTCATTAGTTGATTATAAAAATTTTCTGGAATAGGATTTAGATCTGGAATTCTCTCTAACTTTTTTCTTAGATTTTTCTAAATTGATAAACGGAATTACAGGAATAATGAATTGCTTTGCGCGTTTCACTTTCTGTATATGTTTCACAATCCCAAGCGAACAAAGCATCATCACTCATACTTAAAAACATGTTTAATTTTAGGTGAGACTTGTTCAACCGCATTACCGTCTCTACACGTTTGTCATACTTGTTCATAATTATCTTCTATTTGTTTAATACCTAAACTTTTTCTATTTCTTCGTAGAAGACAGAAATGTGAGTTATGTAAGTAAAAAACCCAATCTAATTTCTCGTATACATCTCTGAGATATAAATGTCTACTTTTGGGATTACAAATTTGAAATGAAGTATCACATGTCGTATTGAATTCATGAATTCTAGCAGTTGTCATTACTCGATTTCTATTTAATTATAGAAAATGGTTGATGAAATTTTTAAATTCAATACATGATTTACACATTTGATAAAATAGTTCCATCTGTTGGTATGTAACAATTTTTGTTCATTTATCTTTTTAAGTAGTAGAGTTCCTCTATCTACCAACATTTGATATTTTTATTACTTTTGAAATTGTCTTTATGTAAAATTATTTTTCCTGTAAAATAGCAAATCAGAGCAGTTGGATTTTTCTTCCATATTTCTTGAAATATTATTAAAAGTTTTGGCATTGAAACCAAGAAGTCTCATATCTTTCCATCTATTTCAATTTGACCTTTAAATGTTGAAAATTTATCAGAATCAGCCTTGATAAGATTGGAAAATAGGGTGTTTTCTATAAATGTTTCATCGAATCTACTTACATTTTTAGGGTATACTCTTTAAACTAAGTATTTTTAAGCTTATTTATTGAATTGATGATATTTATCTAAAATTTCATTGAGTTCTTCTTGTTCTTCAACGGTTAGGTTCTTATTTACTATTGATCTTTCCAAAAAAAAAAGGAATTTAAGAATTCAATATTTTTTGTTTTCTTATTTTAGGGCTGTTTTCACTGTAACTTCTTCTGTTAGAATTATGCTTACTGTTTTGAAAACAGAATCAATTCTACTCCATGTTTTCCTACATTTATTGTATTTTTCTAGTTTTACTTTTAACTCATTTTATTTGTCTATCATGTATTGTTGTCTGCTGCTTTCGAGTTCCATTTTAAAGACATTAACTTAATTGAACTTCTGATAAACCTTAATGTAATGAGAAGGATAAACTAAAAGATGGAAAGGATGAAACATTCTTAATCTCCCCACCTCCAGGTATTGTTTTATTATCTTTAAAGATAAATATTTTAGGATAATACATAATAACTTCTTTTATATGTTTTAATTTAATACAAGTCATCAACCTTTTGTTTTCGTTGTTAATTTCTAATTTTATACGTTCTTCATATTCTCTAACAATGATAAATTGAAGAATTTTACGAGCTTTAAATTGCTTAGCTAATGAGGTTTGTGAGAAGAATATTGAATCGATTTTTACCATCATAGGAGAAATAATTTTAATTTGAGCCTCTCCTCGGAAAAAAACGATCCGCTTTCATAGATAAGAGCGCGCCACTTTTTCATACTCTCCAATAATATTCTGTTTCATTTCCAGAGACACTTCAATACGGACACGCTTCGCAGGACGAAAATTGTTAGCTTGAGAATTTGGAATAAACGCGTAATAAAGAATGGCCAATTGTTTCGCAATTCCTGTTATTTGCTATAATTCTTTCAATTCGTCAGACTTTTTCACTGAATCGCTAGTACTAATTCCTACTTTTGCAACAGAACCTAGAGCCTGAGCTTCGGAGGAAATAAGTGATTTGTTGTTTGAAATAAATCTGGCTACTTTTGGAATTAGAGAATATAGTACTGAAAAGAAACCGTCGCCTGAATAATCTGTAGTTTCGAATTTGTGTCATTCGTTTCTCAAAATTAAACTCATCCTGTTTTTCTAAACGAGTTAATTTAGTAGCACGGTACTATTTATACAAACATGATATTGTTACAAAATAGTCAATATTAGACCAATCCCTTTTTATTGCTCAATTCATAGGAATGAATAGATTATTGTTCATTGAAAAATAACACAATGACTATTTTGTATGGATTAAATTTAATAAGTGATTTTAATGTAATAAAGGATTATTGTTCAGGATTGCATTTTATATAAATAAACTGGTGGAATTCATATATATGGTGAAAAGTAGATTAGATATATATTTTTTTGTTCATATTATGATGGAATTAGGTGTGGGACCTTTCATATTCTGAAAGGTCATATACTACTTAGACCAGAGCTGGAATCTTTCAGAGTACTAAGCTGCGTGTCCAAAAAGAGGATGGTTTTGATCAAAATCACTAGACGCCGTACCTTGACAATTGTGAAGATGACCTAAAAGCAGAGTTTAATTTCTCATATACTCTGACCAAAGAGAAATCCATTATAACCGACTTTGCACATTTTACTATCTTGCTGAACACAATAATTTCGAAAAAATGCTTGAACTGACAAATAAAATGTTATAATGATATATATCTATTTATCCAGCCTGATTCCAATATACTTTGGTCTTAAAATAGTACAGCCTCTCACATAAAAGGCAATGGTCATTTCTGATAGACCAATAGTCAGTGAGGTCAGGTAGGTCTATTGTATACCATTTCTTGGAATCTGCTGCATTTTTTAGGTATCTAAGATTGCCGGACAAAGTATAGATTTAAGGGGTTGGTATATATACATTTTGGTAAAGAAAATCGTTAGATTATATGAGATTAGACATGATTTAATATTTTGTTAGTTCAGACGTTTGTATCCTGATCCGGAACTATTTTACAAACGATTCAAGAAGAAAGTTCACCAACCACATACATCCTTAACTCAATGAGTTTAGTAACTAATTCAGGAACCTAGTCGGAGATGAACAAAATGCGCCCAGTGAAACCGGGATCACCGCCCCTGACAATATAGTGGATGAATATGATTGTCAGATAGCTGAAGATGAAATTTTCGGAGCAATCAGTAATTTAAAACGTGATAAAAGTAATGGGTCCGACGAACTATTAAATGAATATTTCATTGAATTTAAAGGTATCTTAACCCTTACATTATGTACACTTTTTAACACACTTCCTACATAGTGGTCTTTTGGTATCATTATTTCCTTATTTAAAGTGATACAACGTCTAAGAATGAACCTAAAATTCAAGTTCTGGAAAAGGTCAATATTATTCTATATTTATCAGTTAGCTTACCTGGTGTCATAAAGTTACAACAGAATCCGCATAAAATCAGGAAAATTCATAAAAATAAGTAATTATTGTAAAACGCTTAATCTTGACATTAAGCGTTATTCAATAGTTAATTGCATATTTATGGATAATTACTAAGTTTTTTGGATTTATCGGATTATATAAGGATCCTGTTATGTTATATATGACACCAGGTATATCTACTGGCTCTTATTCGCCAAGTTTAAAATTCTTAAATTTTATGTTAATTCTAAGACGTAGTATCACTTTCAGAAAAAATGATGCCATTATGGAGGGTAATTATCGAGGAATAACTCTCGTCAGTCACTTGGATGAATTATTCACCTCAATATGGAACTCTAGGTTATCTTTATTCAATGATAAATATAAAGTTCTTCCCGACTCCTTCTTCGGATTTAGATCAGGTTTTGGTACCACGGATGCCATATTTGTTTTGCAAAACCTAGTCCTAAAACACTTAAGAATAAATCGAGGTTGTATGCCTGCTTTTTGGATTACTCAAAAGCATTTGATAGTATCTGTCATTGCCGTCTATGGTATAAATTAATAAACACGGGTATCACTGGTAAATTCCTTAATTTGATAATGTCTATGTATTCAATCTCTCGTGAAAAATTTAACGACGAATTCTCAGAATATTTTTCATGTACATCTGGATTCATGCAAGGTGAATCACTTTCCCCTTTTATTATATTCATGATATGTACACGACATAGAGACAGAATTACTTAACCATAATTGTAACTCAATTAAGATAAATGATTTGTGTTCCAGACTATCCTTATGGGGCGAAGAAGGTTCTAGATAAGACAAACTTCCAGTAATGTCTTTTATTCCAAGCAGAATTATGTTACAGAAATAATAAAATTTTATTCTGAAAAGAGAAAAGTTATACTGATAAGAATCAATATCAACTAAAGGCACGTAACCTCGTTTAGCAAGACTACAGACTACACTTAACTGATCAATGCACACAAGTTAACTCCCATTCTCTTATTACCTAACATATTGAATACAATACAGATATGAAACTGACAATATATTGAGACTTATGAAAATACGTTGTATAACTAGGAAATATACAATAAATCTTAGCCGACAGGAAAATTGTGTCTATGAAATGCAAACTATGATCTAGACAATTCTGACACTTTAAACAGGAAATACTCATAGAAAGCGCATTGACACATGTACACTAGGCTATAATAATATGCTTAATACATTTATAAACAAAATATAATAGGTACCTGAAGGGTTTTATCTCTAGACCTTAATTTTATTATCAATATGTCTGCGAAAGTTGAAGGCGACTCTTCTGAACGAATATGGCGATTTAACACGAAGAGCAACAAAAGGTCACGTGGACCAATGAAAATTATATTACCTAATATAGACATACAATGACGTAAATATATTAAAGCTGAATTCTATGAAAACTAAAACAAAGTAAATAGCGACTGACTATTCAGAACAAGCTGTTACTAATAATGTACGCAGATTATACTGTAATGGATTTGATTATATTTGGCATTATCAAAGAGTTCATCATGAATTAACATTTATTAATGAAATTTCGCAGAGAATCAAAGATATTTTGTTATACAAAAAGCAAGATATAATATCGAATCCTCTCTAAGATGTAGCATGTACAAATATTTTGATAATAATTACAATTTGGAATATTATTGTAAAGCTCAAAATAGTCTTTATTAGAAGACGAATTTTGTGACATGGATAATCGAGTCTATGAAACTGCACGCAGCAGTTAAAATGAGTCTTTATTCATCGGTGAACTTACCTGGTGTGAAAACTATAGAAAAGAATCCCTCTATAATCCAATAAATCCATAAAGCTAAGCAATAACTCTACTAAGTAATTTTGGATCATGCTTAGAAGCGCGTTTCAATAATGAATAATTTTAATGGCTATATCTTCTTATATAGAGATTCTATACTTTAGTCATGGCAGGTAAATTCCACTGATGAATATCATTATATTATACACTTGTTGATCAAATTGGAGAAGTTAAATTAGGTTGTATCTTATTTAACTGGACATGTATAGGTATTAGATCAGAGCTGGAATCTTTCAGAGTACTATGCTGCATGTCCAAAAAGAGGATGGTTTTGATCAAGATCACTAAACTTGAGGATCACACATGGAAAAATGCATATTTTTGTTAGATGTACTTCCATTTAGAAGCATCTTCACAATGTCCATCTATTACGAAATTCGTCTTATACCCCGACTGCAATAGCCAATTTTCTTTTATCACCGAAGTTTGTAAATGCAGCGTTTTGATTGGATCGTACACTATCGAATACAGGCTTATTGTTAACAGATTTTTGTTGGGGTCTATGATTGGCTGTATTCGCTGGGGTACAATCCACACAAATCGCTATGGTCCTGTAATACAAGAAAGGTTTCTATTGGAGTCAAGGTATAATTCGAAGTTTGTAATACCTTGACAATTGTGAAGATGACCTAAAAGCAGATTTAAATTTCTCATATACTCTGACCAAAGAGAAATCCATTATAACCTATACTCTGCATAGTTTACTATCTTGCTGAACACAATAATTTCGAAAAATTGCTTGAATTGACAAAAAATGTAACTTTATAATCTATACCTGTAGATACTATATTTCCAAAGTAGCAGCACAGTACTGATAGTACTAATAAATACCAACTATTCAGACTTCAGACTACTTAAAGAATGATATGTCTTATGCTGCATAGATCGTTTTTTATCTTGCAATTTTATTACGATTTAACCACGCCCACATGAATGGAACACGTGCATCATTGGGTATCCGGATCGTATAATACATAAGTAGAAAAAAATCCTGGGGAAACAGATCACTCATACTGAACGCAGGCAGGTATGAAAAAAAGCTCAATTTTCACGTAATCAACACAATCTTAGTTTAGTCTGCACAGTTTCTATTACTATTTATTCTACCTTAAGTTTAAGGTGTGTTTGTGTTTTATGGTTTGAATTGGACCTGCTTGGGAAGAAATATCTTTTGCTCGACTTTCTCGATTTTTTGGTCTAAAAAATTGAAATTATGTTGGGAATTTGTATTTTGGCTTAACAACACAATTGCTCGTTAACACTCTACAAGGCACCGATTTCGACGGAACTTATAAACCTCCAGTGACGTCATCCTATTGTTATAGCGGGATTTTATATCTCATAAAATGTATGGTCATGTCATTCCCGATGATTATATAATAATTTCCCCGGGATTTAATGTATAATCCCGGGGATAGTATGTATAAAATCCCGGGGAAATTATGTATAAAAACTTTAAAACATCTTCGGATTTCTTATGCTCAAGCTGACTTGAACAGCTCTCAAATAACAACAAAAACATACTTTTAATGAAAGTAAAAATTATATGTTTTTCGAGCAACTTTTGCTCCAGTCAGAAGCCGAGAAACATTCTCCTTTTGATCGTCAGATGATCTCTTGTAAGCTCGTACAGCTTCACTACGATGTCCTACAATACAATTACGTTCTAATTATAAAAAAAACGACTTCGATCTGCTTGTAAACAATTATTAACGAGTTAGATCATACAGAAATTGGCTTCAAATTGTGATAATTCTATTTTAATAACGGACTGTATATTGTTGAGATTCAACTTAAATATAATATACATGAACCTACCAGTCACTTCACAAATAAGTTGCTCCTCTACATTTGCCTGGAAGAGTCTTGTAGCCGCCGTTGCTCTTAACGAGTGGTTAGTTTTCGAACCCGGAATTCCAGCCGATTTACACAGTCTCTTTATGGTCATCTGTAGAGAATTATGCCCAACTGTTAGACGAGAGAACCATTTGTTTTGACTATAATTTATCATCGGATTAAAGTAAAAGTAATTCGAATCTTTTCCATCAGAACTAGATGGTTGATTATTTTCCTTTGGTGGTACTTTGCGGTCCTTCGGGCCTCCATGATTTGTCTTGGATACATCTTCTTTATACAAAAGATAATGTCGACCTCTCTCATCCACGTGCGGACCTGTTATTTGTGGCTTTGAAAATAATCTCAAGTTTCGGTGTTCCCTTCCACGTCGCAAGGAGCAGTATTCAAACATTCTTTATCAATTCTTAATAATGGCGTGTATAAGCATGAGGCAGGAAATTCTAAGTTTTCTTTCATGGGCCGTAGTCTTCTTTCTTCCTGCCACCTTGAAAAGACGGACACTCCCCAGGAGTTCCGATATCTTGTTGATTTCGGAACACACACCTCTGTTTTTTTCTTTTCTATGTCTTTTTACATAAAGGCTTCCCAAATCTGTACTGAAAGTCGTCTTTTACCGTTTCCTCCGGCGTAAATACAGACTGTGTCAGAAAAATGTCGTCTCCGTTGTCCATCGCGTCTTTTCTGAGTACAGTATAGAAAACAACTGACAGACCACGTGTTTAACTCTTATCACTGGCACGTGCATGCTGTGTTTGCGCGATCCGACATTGGTTACATTGTGGATTAAAATTTAGTTTGGCGATAAAAATTAAAATAAAGGTTCAATATCGGTTTATAAGCCAGATAAAACACTTTCCCTCGGGTTTTTATGACATTTAAAACCCTTTCCCTCCGAAAATCCCTCGTGATGCGAGATTTTAAATATCATAAAAACCCTCGGCCGTGTTTTATCCTCTATTTATTATGGTTGTTTGTAATCACCCAAGGATAAACCATATCGAAAATCAGAATAATCGAAAAATAATTATTGTGAAGAAGTGTATATCTGAAGGTAGAATATTTCATACTGGTAATTGTTACTTTACTGCCAAATATTTTTTATCTAAAAATCAAAGCAGCCAGTGGGTTTATATGACCTTGCCTGGTTTTGGTCCCTTTCGTACGACAGCTACTTTAGTGTCAGCAAACATTATAAGGTTCTTTCTACCGACCAACCACACCTTTAATTTAATTTAAACCAATCCCTCGACTGTTTCGTGACACAGACTCAGGGACAATGTAGAATAGCTGGTAATGTTGAATGTAATGTCAAGCATATTTTAAAAAAAGCTATCAAAAAACGGATCGGGGCTACATATAAAAACATGCCGATATCTCATCTGTGTATAAAGTCCGAGAAATTTGTTGTGCTTAAATGCTTTTTAAAATTTTCTGAAGCTGGTTTTTTATAACGCCCACTGTGTGTGCTTTTATACATCTCTGATAATTTACTACAACGCTTATAGTACTTTGCTATGGTGGACAAACAAAGCCTGTCATGTAGCGCCCACTCCTTGATAACAATGACAAATTGTGCAATATTAGTGATTACTGTCATATTGCTCTACCTGTCCAAATTCGTCACAGTCATCAAGAATCCTGTCCTACACGACACTCTTCTATTGGTTAAGTATATCGCCATAAGAACAGAGCTGTGGTAGAAATCTTGGAAGAGAAAAACGAATATTTAAATGTTATTTATTTAGATTGGTTCAAATTAAATATATACATTACATTATAACAAAAATTCATGATAAAATACAAACCTACTGCCAAACCACAATGTTCATAAACTCACATTTCGCCTGTTATTTTTGGTTTAAATTGAGAGGATTGTTGATAATGATAAACAATGAAAAAATTTTACAGAACGGAATTTTCAATCCGATATATGGCCGATATAAAACCACAGAGAGTTATAAAGCTTCAACTAGCCTCATAGTGTTTGATATCCTAAAAAAAAATCTTGAGATTTATATTGCTATATTACTTGTATATTACATTCTAGAACCTCTTCAATAATATTGCTTAATAACCTCATAAAGTTCTAAAACCACATAGTGCTATAAAACCTCATAAATGTCTAAAATACCTTATTATAACATATAAAAGTCTTTAAATGACATTTAGAAGTAGTTAAAACATTAAATAAATAAGAACACTATTATGAATTCCTATATGTGAATTGAAACGTAGCAAACATTAAAGAAAAGAGTTATATATCCATTATCGTGTTTTTTAAAATATAAAAGGGAAGTAAGCGCCATTTTTACAATAAAAAAATAACAAAATCTTTTACACACATATATATTAGTTTTTCGTTAACACTTAAAAGCCATTCTTGGATTTCTATGGATGTCAAAAGAGGGAATAATCATTGTTTAGTTAGGACTATTAAAAGGTTGCTCGATTTTCAAAATTGGTTTAACACCCAGTTTTGATCTTCAGACAGAGAAATGTTCACAATTATCACAGATGGAATAAACAAACAACTTCTAAAAGACCTCATAGAATTCCCAGGACCTCAGACTGGCCATAACCTCAGAAGGTTCTATAACAATGTGTAAATGATCCTTGACGGGTGATGATATTTTTGGATTGTAGTCTCTCTCGGTATTTCATTCTGAAAGTTAACCAGGGTTCGCCGTCATATTCTTCCTCGATGGTAGATTCCAGACCTCGATCCAAAAGACTTCTGAGACGGTTCACAAAGGACGACCACTCCGACGTTTCATCTTCTGAGGTTATGGAACGTAATAGCGGCCATTTTGTTGCAACCAAACGTCTAGCTGAGCCAATCAACGGTAATGAATTTTCAACCGGAAGATTCACGATTCGTTCTGACTGTTTGATTACTTCTTGTATACCTTGTTCGTCAATTTTCTGAAGAACCGTGTATAGTTGCTCTCGCTGAGCATCCTCTTCGCGAGTTATAGAGCCCTCAAAAAACATTGTGTCCATTCTAGCCAAAAGATGTACTCCTCGACCTCTGATGGAATTGGCAGCAGCGTCTCGTTCACTGAGGATTCGAGGGATATTTTCTTCCATGTAAGGTCCATGCATTCCAGTTTCGTGATCCATAAATCTTAAAACTTGGGCTCCACCAATACCTATTCCATCAGTTCCTGAATAAACAGCATGCTTGATCTCATCAAATTTGAACCCAGCGGAGAAGTAAGTGACCAACCCTCTTAAATGAGCAGCATGGACGATGGACAGGGCTTCTTCAAAGGTGAGCTGATACATGATGCATTTTGACGGGTAGGAGTCGCTTGCTCCATCCCACGTAACCTTGTCAAATCCACCAATACATGTAATTTCTATGGCCCGGAGAGCAATATCTATTCGCTCAGTCAATTTGACCGGGGTTTCCTTTTCATAATCATCTATGACAGTTTGGTTAAGGTTCCAAGCTGCCGACAGAAATTGGGACAGGCGGTTTCTGTGAACGTGACATCTTAAAGCTCTCATGTATCGAACAGCTTCTGAAGTTTTCAATCCTTCCATAGCAACCTTACACTCTGCACCGCCCTGGCCAAAAGCTGCCGAGGCCGTTGCCGATGTCATATGAACGACTTTCAAGAAATCGTTATCAAAGTCTCCAGAGTCTTTCATGTGTCTGCCCACAAAGTAGGTATTTGGTGCGGCTGAACCCACATGGAGCCGAACGCGTGAAAAATCCTGTAGGGATGGGACACGGTATGACTCAATCTGTTGTCTAGGAAGATTACCAGGTCTTTCTAAATGTTCAACATGTACTATAGCTCCTGTCATCCAGTCGTTAAATCGTGTGGTACCGAGAACGTGACCATCACCGGGATCAGTAAGTGACATGTACGTCTGGGTGTGAGGTCTGAATCCTGGTGATCCTAGAGGTCGGTGTGATTTTGATGTTAATTGTTTACCATTAGCGATGCTGTTATAAGCCAAATGTATAGCAAGGTACTCTGTCGGTGTTGGCTGTCTTCGTTCATCACGTAAAGCTTGTAACATTAGGCTGACTGTATCCAAAAATACCGGTGCAAATTTCTGGTCGTCCCATGTGATGCTCATCTTATTTAGATTATCTTCAACTGTAAAATTGATGTACCCGGTTCCATCCTCAGGAACGGTGCCAATGAAAATTTCGTGCTCCACTTTCCATTCTCTGACGATACCCCGAGCAAGGCGACACACGCGGAACATGGCGTCGAGAATTTGGCGTATGGAGTTAGCTGTTAGGATGTTCTGACCAATGTTTGAAAACAGTTCAATCTTATTCGGGTCTTGTTTAAAAACAACGGTAAGACGTTTACGGAGTTGATCATGGACAGCCTTGATGTCAGAAGCTGTAGTCATGGCTAATTCGTCCCCGGATTTAAATTTCTGGTTTTTACTGTCGAGCTTGATTCTGATATTGTAGAGGTTTATTATGACGTCTTGAAGTAGTGAAAGAGTCACCTGACGAAGTGTACCTACTCCCAAAGTCATGACGCTGGTGTCCTGAAATGAAATAGAAGCGATATTAGACCATTAGTGCCTTAAGTTACTTGGAAAGAGGTGACTGTTATGCACCAACTGCCTTACAGATTACTTGGATTTAGTGATGGTTGTATCCAAAATATATCATCCTAGTCGTTATCAGCACAAACAGAAACCGCCATAAACTTTCTATCAGTTCTGACGTCTGAAAGAAATCCCGCAACTTCCGTAGAAAATGAAATCAAATAAATCGACAGATACCTTATCAAGTTCTGTAACAGCAATGGAAGGTCGACGAGGATCAGCTTTAACATTTTGTGGAACGAAAGAGGTGTGAGTGAATATTTTTGGGTCGATCTTCTCTTCTTTGGAACCCCTTGATGAATAGGACCATCTTCTCTCAATCTAAATTAAAATTTAACGGGAAATTTAACGTCTTATTGTCCTCTGGACTAATAAATGAAATGCATAGCATAGAGTTTTTGATCTGCTTTTGAATTGATCATTTTGCCATTTTTAAAGACGGACATCAACATACATAATGCATTATGCAATGTGACAAGAAAAACATTTTCAGTTATTAGTTTATACGCAATAATGAACAATATTATTTTGAAAAAGTTAACTTATGACTAATGAGATGGAGTTTAATGTCCTGCTTGCTTGTGGTACTAACCGACAACTCAGTTCCTCAGATGTGATATACGCCTTCATAGTGACTATATTTTCACATCCGTATATCACCAAATGACGATATTACACCCGTATATAACCCAATGACGATATTACATCCGTATATCACTCAATGACGATATTGCATCCGTATATCACCCAATGACGATATTACAACCGTAATACATATCACCCAATGACGATATTACAACCGTAATACATATCACCCAATGACGATATTACAACCGTATATCACCCACTGACTATATCACACCCGTATATCACCCAATGACTATATCACACCCGTATATCACCCAATGACGATATTATATCCGTATATCACTCGATGACGATATTGTATCCGTATATCACCCAATGACGATATTACAACCGTATATCACCCAATGACGATATTACATCCGTATATCACTCAATGACGATATTGCATACGTATTTCACCCAATGACAATATTACAACCGTAATTCATATCACCCAATGACGATATTACATCCGTATATCACCCAATGACGATATTACATCCGTATATCACCCAATGACGATATTACAACGGTATATCACCCAATGACGATATTACAACCGTATATCACCCAATGACGATATTACATCAGTATATCACCCAATGACGATATTACAACCGTATATCACCTAATGACGATATTACATTCGTTTATCACCCAATGACGAACTGGGTAGGGCTGAAGTAGGGTCAAGAGTTGTCGGGCTAATGTCGTATAATATATGACGTATAAAGAAAGACAATGCCATGCAGTTTACAATAAGGAAGAAGGTTCAAAGTATTTACCTTTGACATTTTAGAGTAATATAAATAACATGCTATTCCGATGCCTAAAGCCAGACATGTTATTATTGATAAAACACCCAGCACCAGTGAGGTCAACACAATTTCTTCTGTCACAATCATTGAAACTGAAAGTAAGAATAAATATAATTAGCCCGATTTAAGAGCCTGCTTCATTATTCATTCTGGTCAGTCAAACATGTAAATGAAACCACCCAGTCTTGCAAGAAGGCAATGATCAAATCTGAGAATGACATATTTCAAATCTGAGAATGACCTATTTCAAATCTGAGAATAACATATTTCAAATCTGAGAATGATAGATTTCAAATCAGAGAATGACATATTTCAAATCTGAGAATGACATATTTCAATCTCAGAATGACAGATTTCTAATCTCAGAATTTTCTAAATGACAGATTTAAACTGAGAATTTTCGAAATGATTTCAGATTGAGAATTTTCGAAGTGATTTCAAATTGAGAATTTTCTTAATGATTTCAAACTGAGAATTTTCGAAATGATGTCAAATTGAGAATTTTCTAAATGATTTCAAACTAAGAATTTTCTTAATTACAGGATTCATATCTGAGAATTTTCTTAATGACAGATTTCAAATCTGAGAATTTTCTTAATGACTGATTTCAAATCTGAGAATTTTCTTAATGGCAAATTTCAAATCTGAGAATTTTCTTAATGTCAGATTTCAAATCTGAGAATTTTCTTAATGACTGATTTCAAATCTGAGAATTTTCTTTATGACTGATTTCAAATCTGAGAATTTTCTTAATGACAGAATGACTGATTTCAAATCGGAGAATTTTCTTAATGACAGATTTCAAATCTGAGAATTTTCTTGACAAATTTCAAATCTGTGAATTTTCTAAAGACATATTTCATATTTCACGACTTCACGATGTAATTTCTTAACACAATGTTTCATAATGTAGGCTATGATAGATCTCTATCGACAATATTCAACTCTGAAAATCCTGAAATCTGTTAAGTTCTCTAGATTTACCATCTTTTTTCCAATAATTTTTTAATTAACACCCGCTCAAAAAATATGTTATTGTTAAAATGAGAAATTTCACGTATAATATATGCGAATTTCTTTCAGGAAGACTTGATTAAAGATGGGTTCTCTTATTTTCATTTATGAAAATGAAAATGCTACTACTTATATGAATAGAAGGAAGAGATGTTCTAATGACTTGGAAAAATTCCAGTTTGCCTCACATGTCCATAAGTAATTCATAATTAGCTAAATTAGAAGAGAATTACCGGCAGAATTCCAATGAGTGACCGATCAAGAAAGGTCAAAAAGTCTTTTTTTGTTTATCCAGACTGTACATACATGAATATTTATGATTGGTTAAAACAATATGCAATATAAGAAACTAATGATATGATTGAGAATACATTGCAATTCATTAGAAACACCAATTAATCAAATAGTTTGCTTAATTTGACGCTAAAAAAATAAGGAAACCCATCTTTAATATCAATATGAATATATTGAGTAATATTTCCAGACGGGTCCCTCTGTAGCTACTGGCCTGATTTCTTCACTGATTTTAGATAACTTATACATTGACTGCAATAGCCACTATTCTTATATAACAGAAGTTTGTAAATTCAGCTAGCGAATTTAATCAATCAGATTCCTCCACAGAAGTCGGTAACTAATGTATTGTTTACAGACTGTCAGCGAGGGCTATGATTGGCTGTAATCATCGGTGTACAATCCAATTAAATCACTGCATGCTGTGATACAAGACAAGTTTCTATTGTAGTCAAGGTATAATACGAAGGTTGTAATACCTTGACAATTGTGAAGATGACCTAAAAGCAGAGTTTAATTTCTCATATACTCTGACCAAAGAGAAATTCATTATAACCTACTCTGCACATTTTCCTAACTTGTTGAACACAATAATTTCGTATTTCAAAAATTGCTTGAATTGACAAAACAAAAATGTAACTTTATAATATAAATCATTTACAAACGCTCAAAAAAGGATCTAAAAGTCAAAAGAGTATTTCCTATACCTGTAGATACTATAATTCCAAAGTAGCAGTACTAGCACAGTACTGATAGTACTAATAAATACCAACTATTCAGACTTCAGACTACTTAAAGAATGATATGTCTTAAACTGCATAGATCGTTTTATATCTTGCAATTTTATTACGGTTTAACAAACCCAACATGAATCGAACACGTGAATCATTGAGATTCGGGATTAAATTATGCATAATTAGAAGAAATTTCAGGGAAAACGGACCTGTCAGTCATCTTTATTCAATGTCAAGTGGTTTGATTTCTTCATGGCCATTCGTCACTAAACGAAGCCCCGCCTACTCCTTTAAAATTTCGTTTAATCCGAAACATGATGACTACATGTGGACTTAATTTTTAACCGGAAATAATTTATACTTACTCCATTTTCTCAGTTAGAGGAAAATGGTACGATTAAACTGCAAATAAATCATGTTTTGATATACGTTAAGCTGAGAGAAATGCCCCAGAAAAGCGTAGGACGTAAAACCCTATTTCTATTAATCCATTTCTGATAAAATATAAGCCGGAACTAAAGTCACCGACGACTGTAAACTTGTATGTATGTTGTATTTAAATCCGGATAAGCGATATCCTGTTATACTATGAATTCACGTGGCTTTGTATTTATAACCATTGAAGTACATGTATAGGCCTAATAATCGTCTCAATATACAATATACTATACATGCCGGAACAAGGTAGAAATGCGGATGATACTTTTGTTAAATTTCATAATTAGGATACCAATTTTTTTCAAAATAGTAATTGACATCCGAACGTTGTCTCACTTTAGCCCCTGCCTGCTGAAAGTCTATTGCTCATTAAATGGACACGTTCGCCATATGTTTGACCTTAGTATCAGAAATGGGATTTATTTAGTTAAGCTAATCAGTAATAGTGTTAACAGCTCATTGTCAAAATTTTAGCCTTCAAATCCAATCATGTACAGAATCATCCGCGTTTTAAAGTTCAAAAGACGCCTCGTATCTTCTTGATACTACGCCATATTATAGAAAAAGTATAATAGAAAAAAGTGAAATATCTGGTTTAAAATATATTTTCATAAAGTTCTAGTACTTCTTATTACATAATATATATTCAAGACCCAATTCAATCCCCGAAAATGGCAAATCATGGCCTTAATGTTAAAATTTAAAAAATTGTAAACTACTATTTTGATTTCCAAGGATCATGAAATTAACATTAATGGGCCCAACCTTTATCCATTGAATATAACAACAACAGGTGAATACTGTTTGTAAGACATATAGAAATAGGCATAGGCAAAAAAGCCTATATTATGGATTTATTATTTCTCACTCAATGTTTCACATGCTAATACAGGCAGCGTTAATTTCTCTTGATAACGCTGCCTGTATGAGCATGTGAAACGTTGAGTTAAAAATGTCAGAAATAGTATATCCTTAACATCTCGTGCTTCTTTAACAGGTGCAGGTGAATATTGGAGAATAATATTATGACATCACGAAACCGGAATTACCCATATGTGACTCCATTAAAATATCTTAAAGGTTATCACATAGCTTATATTACCACCCTTCCGGCTTATCCGTCCGATGTCAGTAATTACAAGACTCACGTATCCGAAAAAGCGATCAGAGTGGTGCTAATAGAAGCTATTACAGTCCCAGATACAAATACATACACGAGCTAGAAAATCTTTTTGAATCACCTGAAAGTAATAAGTGTTTGTTTATGTAGTGTACATGAATAAATTATAATTAATTATGTAAATGATTATAAGGGGTAGAATATCAACTATCACTTTTCTTTCATCTTTAAACCGTGCAAGAATTCGTTTTGATCAGACAATAAGTATGTCCAAACAATAAAATGAAATGAAATTTTCTACATCTAAGCGGACTCATGAAAATTCAGTGGCCCAACTGGGGCTCATGGACTTAGGTGGGTGCCCCCAACCCTCCGTCGGGAGTTTTTTTTAACAATTATTCTCTCTTGCAATCTGAGAACCCTCTGAAAGTCGAAGTAACTTTCATGTATCAGTCATTGCTGAAATAGAGCCTGCTTTTCGTAAATAGGACATAATATTACCTTTGGTAGAGTGTCCATCATGAGCATTTTATATTGTGACTTAACATTTAAGATACTTCAATAGATATATTTTGTTGTTTTATTCTATTGTTTTCTGGGGTTGGCGGCTCGTCGACTTGGTTCAACCAGTCCATGTGGTAGGTGAGCCAATGTAAAAAGTACAAATTTGCCACAAAATTTTCTACCAGTGAGAAATGTATGAAAATATTGGCCATACGGTTTGGAAGGAATGATTCCAAGCGTCTATTCTTTCGGATGGAACAATAAACCAAGGCTCCGTGAGCTACAGGCTGTGCACGTTAAATATGCCTCGACAGTTGGAAATCGAAAAAGAGCAAGCTAATGCCGCTGTTCTGTCAAAATTTCCCTCGTTGCACCCTGCATGGCGTTGTCCGTCTTCATTTGTCCACATGGTACTGAAAAGTAGGAAGTAAAACTCCATTCATTTCATTTCATTTCAGTTATTGCCCATGACTAATCTTGACGGATCTGCGATCGAAACTTGTACACATAGTAATCCGACGACAGATCGCAGTTGATTCGGCTCAATTTTAAAAAAATAACTTTCATCAATTTAAAATGTGATTTATGCGTATGACAGATTATCCCGCCATCTGATTTCTATAGAAAAATATGACAGGCGCTAGAGCTTAAAGGAACTGCTAACCGTTCTCTAAAATTTTGTTTCGGCGCCCTTTGTGGCTTCTATTTACATAATTCCAATTTTCCGTCAGATGTCTATGGTTCCTATAATTCCCATGGGCGTTTTCAATAGTGACGTCATCAAACGCTCAATTTTAGTGAAATCGCAAGACCCTCAGACGCCTGACTGAAAAATTGAGTGGTGCTAATCGAAGCGCACTGTGTTCTCGCTGAACATAAAAAGTTCTTAAAACGGTTTATAACACCTTTAATCAACTGTTAAAGGGAATTAGTTAAACGGGTACATACCTTTAAACATCAACCTGCGAATAAAGATTTTCTATGTGTGTACATTAAAAGAATGCATAAGTCAAAGTAAATAAACGGTTGAGTTGGTCTGTATCTAGATACGAGACACACTCATTTAAAAAGACACTATCAAATGTTCTACGTGTGTGATATATATTATTATTGACCTCTCGGGTTGATGCAACGTGATACGCCGGGTCCGGTTCTAACTTCCGCTTCAAAGAGAAAATTACTGGATCATATGCATATGAAAGGTAGGTTTGTTTGTATTTTAATTTTTCAATTTTATTCCCTTCGTTTTCATATTACCAATGACTGTATTCTATTGCAACCTATTAATGCTCTTCCGTAATGTTGTATCTTATTGTATACGAACCGTAAGACGAATTTTTTTCTGAAAAGTACCAAGGAGAGCCGAAGATAAGTTTTATCCATTAGCCCATCAATATTTTTTTTACGATTTTATCTGTATTTTTTAATCACCATTCTTAAAAGGTGTATCATTAGGAAGTGTTTGTGAACAGCTCTACTAGCAAATTGTGGTGGAATAGAATCATTCTGTTTAAGATGTTAATGGCCACGGCATTGTGTTCTGTAGTTCAGAGTCAAGAAACAAGTCCATTGACACGGGTAAGTTTTAACGTTTAACAATGTCAAGCTATTACAAACTCCGTCCCATACCTTGTCTGAAACAGCCACTTTTCTTGTATCATGGAAGTTTGTCAATTTGATTGTAGCGTACGCTACCGAATATAGCCAATGAGAACTTTCGACAGGCTACAATGTTTACAGTGTTTATGTCGAGGGCTCTCATTGGCTGTATTTCTTTGCTTGTTATCAAATCGAATAGCTGCACTCCGTGATACAAGAAAGGTGACTATTGCAGCCAAGGTATAATACGTAATACTTAATAAGACCGTAATAGCTTGACATTGTGCAGTTGACAACATTAATAATAAAAGTGGTTGCAAAAGATACGCAGAAAGTCCAATTCAAACCAAGTTCAAAAGAATTGTGACAGCTTTTCATAACTTTTTATGTGTATCGGGGACACTGATAGCATCAATTTACACCATTCCAATTTTCAGTTATGTCTGAGGGTCTTGTAATTCCGCTAAAATATAGCGTTTTATGATATCACTATCTGCTTACAATCCAAGAATCAAAAATCTGTATTTTATTATAGTCTGGAGTCATAATTTTGAAGCATTTCTTGTATAACTGACCTCTGGTATTTTCCTTTCAATTCCAAAATGTTAACGGTACTAAAACCATAAATGAATATACAGCGAGAGTAATCATACAGCCAAAGTTTTCTTTGTTTCCCCAGAGCAGATCCGTTGCTTATGATCGGATTGTGTTTCATTTATAACCATAAGGTTGTAGTTTCTAAACTGTTCCGGATAGAAACTAGCTAGTATTGATGGAGATTCTTTCTTGTAGATTACTACATCACAAACTGTGCCACCGACCACCGGAAGTGACACAGTGACATACCATGAAGGTTTGGGAATAGCTGGTTTGGTCCTGTCTGTATTGTCGTTTATTGGAGTAATAATATTAACAGTTGTTACTGTCTGTTATTTTATGGTGATTAGAAAGGTAAATATAGCTATATATTAACAATGTTTATCACACAACAGTACTGTTCTCTGGTTCATAACACAGGTTCATAAAAACGATATGAACTCATGTTAATATTTATGCTAATTAAGTCGTGTATTCATGAACCATGTAAACGCCAAGGCTCTCGAAACATAAAATATGTCAACTTATTTCATAAATTCAATATTACATAAGCACTCTTTTAAGATCTTTTATTTATTAAACGAGTGCAATACCACATATTGTCGATTGTTTGGACAAATGAAATTGAGGATTGGCACATAACGTGTGTCTATATTAGTTTTACCGCTTTGTATTACAATTTCAACGACACTAATGCTAGGTTTCGGAAACACCACCATTGCTTTGTTTCCTGTATCCTATTGTGCATTGAGGAGGGGGAGCGGAATATCTATTTTTGGCTAAATCTTAAATCTTCTTACTGAATATTTACCTAACGTTTTAAACACTATATAAGCAAATTTATTTAATACTAATCTCATTTCAACAGAAACCCAAGACCAAGTCAATTCGTGCATTATCTAAAAGAAATCATGAATCGCTACGAGAGAAAGCTAGTCATTTATCAGAATTACAGATTACAGGAACTGACCTCTCAACCATTCCCGTAAGTTTCACATTTCAATATTCGTTGGGGAGTAGTCATCTTAACAATTTCAAGCTATTTCGAACATTGCCTTATACCTTGACTACAATAGCCAGTGTATCACGAAAAACAGCGATTTGATTAAATTGTACGCCAGCGAGCACAGCCAAAGAGAGGCTGTAAACATTCTGGCTTATTATTTACAGACGTTCTGTTTAGGGTTCTGATTGGCTGTATTGACAAGCGCACAATCCAATCAAATCACTGCATTTCCAAACCTCGGTGATACAAGAAAGGTATAAGATGAAGTTCGTTATACCTTGACCATCGTTATGATGGGGCGTAGTAAGTTTCTAGATTAATTCTAATCGTTAATATTGAAATATCATGTTTCAAGGGAGAATCGCTTTTTTGCTATTTTCAAATTCCACCTATAAGGTACTCCACTGTTAAAGATGTAGGTCAGAGGAACTGGCATAGAAAAAGGCCTAGTCGTTCTGATGAGACATTAAACCGAGACCTCGTGAGCTGTACTATGCACATTAAAGATCTTTAGATAGTTTGAAATTACAAAGACCGATACCATTGTGATGACTCAAGTCATTGTACACTGCACGGTGGTACCAGACTTCAATAGCCCAATCAGGAACATGATTTTTCCATTATTTTCAGCATGAGTCTTGTAACATCCGAGTTGGTGTTGGAACCTTGTGTCAGATCGTTCTCGGGTTGTTTGAAGAAGTCGTTATCAATCTAGATAATGTTAGACTGAAGATCCGTCATTCCAAGCAAAGTCTTCCCATCATACCAGAAAATCATGTAGACTCTCCTCGTGGTGAAAGCAGCTCGGTACAGTTCCGCTTACAAAAACATTTACATACAGTATTTGAAGGAGATCTGCCCAAGATCGACGTTTTCAGTAAAATTGCTGAAAATATTCTTGGTGCCACTACTGTTCGTCAACTTATGGACGCCATGTTCCGCGTGTGTCGTGTGGCTCGTGGTGTCATCAAAGAATGGAAAGTCGAAAGCGAAGCTTTTGTTGGAACTGTTCCAGCCGATGGTTCTGGATATATCAACTTCACTATCGAAGATAGCGTCCAAAAGGTCAACATCACATGGGACGATCATAAATTTGCCCCGGAATTTTTGGATGCAGTCAGTTTAATTTTACAAGCTTTACGTGATGAACGAAGACAGCCAACACCGACTGAGTACCTAGCCATCCATTTGGCTTATAACTGCATCGGCAATGGTAAACAATTAACATCAAAATCACACCGACCTCTAGGATCACCTGGATTCAGACCTCACACCCAGACGTACTTGTCACTTACTGATCCTGGTGATGGTCACGTTCTCGGTACCACACGATTTAATGACTGGATGACAGGAGCTATAGTACATGTTGAACATTTGGAAATACCAGCAAATGATTCTCAAGATCAAATTGAATCTTATCGTGTTCCATCTTTGTACGATTTCTCTCGGGTGCGACTCCACGTTGGATCGACTGCTTCCGCATCATACTTCGTTGGCAGACGATTCAAAGAATCTCGTCATTTCTCGGATGAGTTCAACACATTGATTAATATGACGTCAGCAACAACATCTGCAGCTTTCTATCAAGGAGCAGCCGAATGTGCCGTTACCATGGATGGTTTGACCACTTCCCAAGCAGTCCGCTATATGCAGGAACTTCATCGCCAAATCCATCGAGACCCGTTTTCCCAATATTTGTCTGCGTCATGGAAAATAAACCAATCGCTCGTGGATGATTTCGAGAAGGACACGCCAGTTACTTTGACGGGAAAGATGGACATCGCTTGTCGAGTTATCGAAGCAACATGCAATGGGGGATTCGACAAAATAATCTGGGATGGAACGGAAGATTCCCAAGCTACAAAGTCCATTTTCAAACAGTTATCAGTTGAAGAGACTATTTCTCTTGTCCACGAAGCTCGATCGAAAGGATTAATCACACATTTTACGGCTGGAGTGGAGATGAGCGAAATCAAATTTGGCGTCTATTCTGGTGCAGATAGTATCGGCATTGGTGGGTCCAAAACACTTCGACTACCGCTTGTGGCTTCTGGAGGGTGTGCACCTTATATGGAAGAGGAAATCTCAAATGTCATAAAGGAAAGGAACCTGGCTGCGGGCAGTGTGTGCGGTGCTGGTGCACATCTTTTAGCTCGGTTGGATACCATGCGCTTTGAAGGTTCTATTTCTAGTACGGAGAACGGGATGAGGTGTCAATTATATAATGCTATGATCAACCACGACGATAGCGTCACCAACTGTATTCTAGAAAAGATGGATTACATACTTAAATTACCCTGCGAGTACGGGTTGCCCTTACTTGGTGAGGCCCGGCGTCTTGTGGACAGTAAATCACCCATGCTGAAAGAAGTGGCAGGGTCGTTTTATGAATGGGTTCTTTTTATCACAAGACTTCGCACACTGCTCGAGAAAAATGACGTGAAGAGTGTAATGGAAGACTATGCTGGGGAACCATGGTTAACTCTAAGAAAGAAACATTTAGAAACCACCAAATTTCGTGATCAGGCAATATCCAGAAGGGATGGACAGATGGACACTCCATTATAATGCTGATTTTAAAGGTCCTGGTGCAGTTCACAAGTAGTGTTGTACATATTGGTGACATATAACTAACTTTTGAGACGACGCGTGATCCGTGATCATGGTAGATCGAAGGGCTTTCGGGGCAAACGATGGATGAAAATAACCCAAGCAGGTGGATATCTTAATCTTATATTAGTTATATCGTGGTGGAACACTTGTAGAAATTATTAATTTCTCCGCCCTACTCTTGAAGCTTACCCTAACCCTATCAATAGAATAACTAATCAAAACCAAATAAATGTCAGCAAACTTCGCACCTCAACGTTTCCCGGAATCATGTTTCAGACTGAAGGTGGGAATATACGATGTCCGGTGCAGTGTTCGGTGCAGGACTATCGAGATAGTAGAAAATAGCGAATCGTGTCCGCACCGTGTCCGGGCCCGTACATCATGTGTTCACCCCGTACCGTACACCGCACCGGACACCGTACATCGTCTATTCCCACTTTAAGTGGATATGTCGAAAGTTTTCCTTTTTTAGCTCTGGCTTCGTCAACAGTATTCTCATTTCATGTTCCTTGTTCCAAAGCATAAGTTGTGTCTTATTTAAATGATTTTAAACTCAGTGTGAGCAAGATGTAGGTTTAACTACAGCTTATATCATGTAGAAACACTGCAACACGGAGTGAGGTTTTATTTGGCAAGAGTGTGGTTTAGAACGAAATATAATCAAATATAAGATAATATTTTTCATATAACAACACAGTCAATAAATTTCACTTATAATAATATACATTGTAGTCCAATCTATAACGGGGCTGTTAAGAGTCCGCGAAGCCGTGATCGCCGAATATCCGAAGCGCTTTGGTGAGAGGTCCAGGATATTTTCCCTGAAAATTTTGAAAATCAGAACATGGAAACGCATTTTGTTGACATCCCCCAGCTACTATTGGTCTTGCATTGCGTTACAGTGCGTTTATGATGCATGTACAGTGCGCGAACAGGCTGCAAACGCTACCCTCCTTTGCTTAGTACCGAAATTGCTACAACCAATTGCGCAGCCTTGTGGGGACAAAATTCGTGCAAGTGTCAGAGTGACTTCATCCCGACCATACAAAAAAAAGATTGAAGGGAGATAACAAATTTATTGAAAGCTCATTTGAAGTGAGAACTAGCAGTCATCTAAAAAAAACTACATACTTACCTATTAAAAACTGCAGCCTTCAACGCTCCTTATAATCTTACAGTCACGATCATAAAGTCATTTTTTTTGCTTTAAAGCTGATAAATTAATATATTGAAAAACAGAATTTACAGCGACGTTCGTGATACAGCTCAAATCTGCGAAATTCCAGAAATAGGCTAAGTATTGTCGGTGTATTTTATGATTTTTTATTATGATTGGGACTAATAGAAAGGATCTGGTTCTACACGGCACCGTGGTTTAGGATGCCCATCTCAACTGGTTCCAAAGTTACAGGAGTTGAAAATTTGCCCGTTTTTGAAAACAATTGCTCAGTTTTTCGCCTCTAGTTTTTCACCAAAAAGCCGGAAACAAGTTTAAAACAAATTTCGAACCTCCCCCGGACCCTCCAAATCCATTTCAGCAAAAAAAAAGAACAAAAATTGGGGTCGAAATTTGAAAATTTTCCTGATCAAAATGACAAAAAAATGGTCGATTTTGGCCAGTTTTGGGGTTAAATTAGCTCTTAATAAAAGCGTTACTGTAGGCAGACCGTAGTTGCGACGAAGCTGTGCTTTGCAGGGTGGATAGCCAGGAAGGTTGTTTTTATTTTTATATAGCAGTAACGGGAAATTTTCAAGAACTGAAAAAAGTAATACAATATAATTTTAGCAAGTTTCTTTGATTGTTCTTATGATCTTTTACGTTCGGAAAGCAGAGCAATTAAAAAAAAAATTCAGGGCTAGTCTTGGCATCAACTTATAACGTTAGGAAGATGGCTACCGCGTGTCATGAAATAAAATATTTGCTAACAATTTGGCGATGTTTTAATTTATATACTTTAGGTTACGATAAAATTATTATTCGTGGAATCTCCATTTCTGTGGGTTTTTGTTGGTTATCTCCCTGTGAAAGTAGGAATATTAGTGAAACAAGAATTTTGATGAATTACGTGAGAAAAAGGGGCAATCCACGAATAAGCTTTAGTTAAATAGTGTTCTCTTTCTACACCGTCTTCAAGAAAACAGATGAAGGTCCATCTTACACCAATCCAAAAATACTGACAATACCGCTTTTTGTGACATATTTTACAAATCTGTGTTTAAATATAGGCTGGACACTCTCCTTTGATAGAGAAAGCCTGATAGCAGCGTTCGTTTTGTTGTTCCTGATTGCGTTCACTTTGTACATTTGTCTGTTCTTCAGCTACAGAAGCTTTGCTGAACACTCTCCAAAATTGGCCAAACAAGGACGAAATTCAGAAATTTGGTGTCACCGAGTAATTGTTCATAATGCGTTTGGTAATTATGCCACATGGACAACTATTGCTACTTTGTTAAACGTGATCATGGTAATGGTTTATGTAGCTGATCCTGGCGTAGAAATTGAAACAGCCGGTACAGTTGCTCTTGGAATTTTAACAGCAGAAATCATCATATTCGCTGGTACTGATTTGATATTATTGGACAAATATTCTAGGTACACGTTCACGCCATATTTGGTCGTAATGGTTGCTCTTGGTGGAAGCATCTCCAAAAATTATGATAGTACCTAAACAAAACAAAACAATTTTTATCGTTGTGCTACTGGCTATAGGATGTAGCTATAATGCTATGCCGTCATTTTAAAAAGCCAATGTTTAATAATTTACAGATTGAGCCGACAGGCTACGCAATGAAGGCCTTAAAGAACTTCAGTCAACATCTGTCATAGAACATTAATTCAAGAACTTTCAACGAAGCAAGTTAACGTTCGATTCCAGCGGATGCTGATATCGCAAACTAGGTAGTTGTTGGTAGTCGTAGTAGTTGGTAGTTGGAATGGTTCAAATTGGATGATGCTGTGTTGTTGGTTTGGTAGATACGATACTGCAGAATTTCGAATAGGAGTATTCTACATGCTCGATATCCTCTAGACTCAGACTTTCCTTGGCACAAGGGATGGAGACATGCGATAGGACCCATACTAATCTGATCTTGTGGTTGTTGGTGGTTTGGTTTGGTTTGTGAAATGAAGCCTTCAGCACACTTACAAAGGTCTTCATCTAGAACATGTTCGAGAAGTCTTCAAATGAGTTTCACTTAACAATGAAAATATATTGTATTATAATAAGTAAATAAAACAACTTAAATAAAATAACTTTTTTTCAGCGATAATTTTTTTAGAATTAATTTCCTCTCAATTCATTTCCCCAGGACAACCCTTCGAATTCAAATTTCAAATCTTTATTATCATTTTACATAGGGAAAGAATCCTCCACTCATGTTTCCTAGAAACGCTACTGGATAGAGAATCTGTCTATATGATTCATTTCATTCGACTGCCTTTGCACCTTTGCACAAGTCGAAACTGATATCTTCAACCTGCCGAAAAAGTTTAGATGGCCTGAGACGAATATTGAGAATTTAGAGGGCTTAATTTAGAAGCCCAACAACAGTTTTATGGGTCCGGTGGTAGGAAAGTCTTCGGACTATATAATATAACCCAGATAAAGCGTGACAATTAGCCCATTGATTCGCCTTATTGCAATGAATTCATTTGTCACGGTCTATCTAATGTATACTGATAAATAATACAGTTCAACAATGAATTAAAGCAATAGAACGTAAGAAAATCAATATGATATCATTTGGAAATTGTTTGATACACGAGAAATGTAAGTAAGTAATTTTTAAAAAGGATTATTTATATTTTCCAAGCTGTTTCAACTTCAGATTAAACACAGACGGCAAGTATTTCAAATTATTTAAATTTATATTATATAAATATTAGATCTACGTCCGCATCAAAATAGCGCTCTTAATCTTAGAATGTATTTGCATTATTAGCATAAACACACATTATGTCTTCAATTTCTTTTTACAGAAGACAATTTTCTTCCAAAATTTGTGAATTTTTTGGCTCAAATTTATAGGAAATAAATGTGTTTCTTTACAAAAGAATATTTTTTTATCAACACAACCACTCTGAGATTATCAGTACTATTTTGAGGCTGTAATGAAAATTCTCTTAAATAAAAAAATAGAAAAAATTCAAAAATTTTGATGGATTTTGATGAAACTTGGTGTGAGTGTTCCTTCACCCAAGGATGAACCCTATCGAAAATCAGAAAAATTGAAAAATATTTAGTATGAGTTACTGCCCTTGTTCTTGAAAACGCATTAAATTTTAAGCTTGTAAACAGTATAGAAGGCACAAATCTTGACGGATTTAGATGAAACTTGGTATTTTTGTTAGTAATGTACAAAGGATGAACCCTATTGAAAATCAAAAGAATCGAAAAATAATTAGTATGAATTATTTTTATTTAAAATCAAAGCTGACAGGCAAGCTATCTTATCTGCTTGCCTAAGGAGTGTGTCATAGCATTGTGTCCATCACACAATAGTTTTCCGGTACATTACATAAAAACAATATGATATCGTAGAGCAGAATAACTATGTAAATTAGGTCATGTATTCTTTGAAGTTGATGACAATTGAAGGTGAAATGCATGAAATTGTTCCAAATAATATTTCCATTAAAAGTTTCAATGTAGTATAATCACAAATTTTGTTTTAACCAAGATCTTTTTTGTTTCTAAGAAAGGTGTTAAAAGGCTTACCTCTTAATGAAAGTCCTATATAGACAAAGTGCAAGGAATTTATGGAAATTATTGATAGTTGAGTGATAAATAGAATCTTTTAAACGTTCTTATGTAATATGAAATTCGTTTCGCTAAGGTGGTTGCAAAGCCGGGTCAGCCTCTTTTCTGGGGTCCATGACATAATAATAATACTAATCTCGTTATTTTACATGGGTCAGAATTAGGCCCAATACACAAAGAAATGGTCACGTGGTCCTGTCTAACATTCAGCCCATTGGGACAATATAATGAATGAAAAGAAATACACAATACCTCTATTGACAACCTGTTTAACAAATACGCAAGTACAAGCGTATTACGTTGACAGATTATGTTGCTGTAATTAAGTACATGACCACAAAAGATGTACAAGCCATCACAATTTAACGAAACCGAAATACACATAGACATTATAGAATTATGCACAAATGTATCATTTCTTTTTTGCACAAGAATATAACTCAGATCCATGTGTGTCAAGAATTATTTGCATTTAAAAGTTATAATGACTCATTTTTTCTTGAGATCCTGTTAAATTTAGAAAAACACATACAGAGCAATAGAAAGATAAATTCCTAGTTTGAAGTATATTTGAAGGAATTGTGCGATTTTCGTACCTGTTTTCATTCGTCAATCGAGAGCAAAGTTTCAATTTCTATCCACAGAGATTAAGCTTCACGTCTCTGTATTACAAGAGTTATAAATGAGGCATGTAGCTATCGTTGCAAAATTTTCCCGAGATACTGAAATATTTTTTTCATATTCAGATAGACGCTAAATGTATGACCCGAATCTACAATAGATATATACATTTACAAAGGCATCTGTGTACTCTATCGAACAATTTAACAAAAATGATAACCCGACGCAATAATACAATTGACCAAAATCAACAAATCTCTCACACGTGAAGACGACAATAAAACGTACAAATAATGACAAAACACGTAACAGATTTCACACAGAAATACCCGTTACAGTAAATGAAACAATTTTGTCTCAATTTCAAATTCTTTGCACTAAATAAACTAGCTGAGGTGAATCCAAGTGTCCACAAACACCTTGCCAAGATGTAACAATATTGCGACCATGGCCTGTGTTCGTTACAAAACTGAAACAGTATATTATAATGATGGTATCACATGAATATCATCTATGCCGGAGGTTCTCAACCTAGGTTCCGTAGTCGCGTTAAGCAACAACTCAACGGTGGTCTTAATTATAGACAATGTAATCATTTTGTTAATTGTTCTTCTATTGTGTCATGCAATTTAACTCAATTATGAAAAATAATGTTGTGGTATATGATTGTAAAAAAACATTTATTCTGTTGGTGGAATGTACTGTTTTAGGACCGTGAAGCTGGCCCCTAACTGAAAAGGTGACCGCGAGACTAAAAAAAAGTTGAGAAACTGAATCTGAAAAAGAGGACCTTTCTCAAAAAGGACCTGCAACGATCTCATCCAGACTCTCAAATTAAATCCAGTGTTATGCAGAAGAATGAATTGACAACGACTTATTCTTATCTACCAATCTACAGTTATTACTATTTTTATTGGTCGCCGATTGTTTAATCTCACATGTGCGCGCGCTTGCACGATAAGATTATTCCGATGCCGACAGGATTTATAATATCAAACCAGTATTGATTTTTTTTTTTTTTGACAGAGCGTCATCATCCAATCAGATTAATTTTCCTTTCAATTTCATGTTCCGTACTGGAAAACGACTGACTCGAGATTATTTGTCTCCTCCTAAGCCCGCAGTCGGTCGGCAAAATGCATGATTCTAGTCGGCGACAAAAATCGCCGACCAAAAGCTCGTGTGCCCGCATCTTTATCGCATCAGTCCTAGAACTTTTCTGACATACCTCGTTACCCAGTTACTCAGATCTCACTTGAGATCATGTGATTTTAGATGTGAATTTCAGACAGTAATAGAATTAGGATCCACTCAGATTTCCAAATGCGAAATGAAACCTAGTTTTTCTGTCTCTGCCTTCATGACATCTGTCAAAATATAGTTACATCCAATGTCACAAAAAAAACTTAAGTATCTCTTAATCTATAGATTTCCTTTTACTTTTAAAAATTATAATCTTAATCCTTTCCTTCATAATTTACTTTAACTTGTAAATCTGTATTCATCTGTATGTATTGGGGTCAACCAGTTGTCGGGGCGGGGGTTGTGGTCGTTAAATATCCCTCGCCAGAAGTGGCGTTTCTAAGAATAATTCGGTTAAGGGGGTGAGTAAGGGCCACAGAGTTGTTAAGAATGAGCACAAGGCAATTTTAATTTTCCCCTTTATTCAATAAATTTAAAATACTAAATTTAAAAGTGTGTGTATTATTATATAATAATATGTCTACTATGTGTATCAACACAACTCTGCAAGTACTGCAAATGTTTACTTGCACTTCAATCGAAACCAGTCAAAATGAAAACGACTATCATTAATATTCACGGCTCATTAAAACAATGCGCGTATGTACAGCTACCTAAAATATATTGTATAACAATTTCAGTAATTGGTGACTATAAAAGTAATTGTGTAACTGACTGGAGAACTTAATATGTGACTGTAAACTAAAACTAACCGAGCAATTGATCGTGTCACTAACTGTACAACTAAATGAGTAACTGGCTGTACGACTTGGTAAATATATGACTTAACCTAACTGAGTAATTGATCATGTAACTAAGTAACTGACTGTACAACTAACTCAGTAACTAACTGTACGTCTAACTGAGTAACTGGCTGTACAACTTACTAAATATGTGACTAAACCTGAGGTATTGATCATATAACTAAGTAACTAGCTGCACATTTAACTGAGTAAATAACTGTACATCTAACAGAGTAACTGACTGTAAAACTTACTAAATATGTGACTAAACCTGAGTAATTGATCATATAACTAAGTAACTAG